TTGAGAAGCAACACGGAGGGTGTCACCGACCGTATGAACCGGTGAGGTGGACGGGAACACGACGGAGCCCAACTGACCGTTCACTTCGAATCCAGGCCCCCCCTACTCACCTCCCCTCTGCCCCAAGTCCATACACCATTGCGGTCTTGACCGGATTTGGTCAAGTTGCCGCCCACTCCATGACCCTGTCGACCGCCTCCGTCTCTCCGCACGAGTCTCCATGTTCATCCCCATACCACCATCTCCAGCCATCCTTGACAAGCTTCGTAACCGGGGTTCGATCCGTCGTCCATTCCTTTCCCCTCAATGGGTTTCCAACGACGTCCTTCCATCCCGGCAAACTCAACAACCTTCTCTACCCATGGGATTGTCGTCGCATTGGCTGCCGGCTGTCATCTTTGGCAGCGGGGGATGGGATGGGGCCCGTGGAGTTGGGAGTCAGGAGTTGGGGTCGGGGAGGGTGTTTGCTTCTCCCAAACCCCGGACCTGAATCTTTATTAAAACGTCTCGTTCCTCACCTTCCAATCTGCAGTTGTTTTTTGTTGTTCGACCGTTGTGTTCATCCCTCCAAGTCCTCGCCTACTCTCCATCTCTTGCTACCCCCCCCCCCCCCCCCCCCTCCTTCAGCAGCTCGCTACCGAACACTTTCCCCCTTCGTGCGAGCGTACTGCATCCGTCAACATGGCAGGTGGCGTCAAGAAGCCCGTCAACATCTTCAAGCTCGGAGACCTTGGCGAGCCCAAGGGCGTCTTCAACTGGCGGCTATGGTTTGCTGTCGTCTCCTTCGGCCTCATGGGCGCGGCCCGTGGTGTCGATGAGGGCCTCATCTCTGGCGCCTTCGCCTCCAAGGATTTCCAAAGGTTCATCCACTACGAAACCTACAGCGCAGCCGAGCGCACCAACATCAAGGCCAACGTCTCCGCCATGGTACAGCTGGGTTGCGTCGGCGGCGCTTTCATGTAAGCTTCGTCCCTTGTGCTCGCACCACGCTCCGCCCCTCTCCCGCCGTTCTCTCTGACCGCGCGTGCTTCAGTGCTTTCCTCATCTGCGACAAGATCGGCCGCATCTGGGCCACTCGCCAGCTTTGCGTCCTCTGGGTCCTCGGCATCGCCATCTTCATGGGCAACAACGGAAGCCTCGGCGCCGTCTACGCCGGCCGTCTCATCGCCGGCCTCGGCATCGGTCAGACCGCCGTCGTCGCTCCCGTGTACCTCGCCGAGATCGCCCCGGCTTCCGTCCGCGGTCTTTGCACCTGCGTCTTCAGCGGCTTCGTCTACCTCGGCATTGTCCTCGCCTACTTCACCAACTACGGCTGCCAGATCCACCTCGGCGATAACACCCACAACCGCTGGCTCGTACCTACCTCGCTGCACATCATCTTCGCCGGCGTCATCTTCATCCTGACCTTCTTCCAGTACGAGTCTCCTCGCTTCCTCGTCAAGCAGGGCAAGATCGAGCAGGCCACCGATGTCATGGCTCACCTTCGCAATCTCCCCGTCGACCACGAGTACGTCGTCCGCGAGATCTACAACATCCAGGCTGCCCACCACGAGGAGCTCGAGGCCACCAAGGGCAGCAGCTGGTACGGAAAAGTCAAGGAGCTGCTCTTCATCCCCAGCAACTTGTACCGCCTCTACCTCGCCCTCATGGTGCAGCTCCTCGCCCAGTGGTCCGGCGCTGGTTCCATCACCCTTTATGCCCCTGATCTGTTCAAGATTCTCGGCGTCCGTGGCTCGGCCACCTCGCTTCTCGTCACCGCTGTCTTCGGTATCGTCAAGCTCGTTTCCGCCGTTGTCTGCGCTCTGTTCCTTGTCGATGTCATCGGCCGCAAGCGTTCTCTCATCATTGGCATCTGCCTGCAAGCCTTGGCCATGATTTACGTGGCTTCCTTCCTGACCCACGTGCCCTTGCTCGGGGTCGACGAGTCCTTCGAGTTGCCGAAAAACTTGGTCCGTGTCAGCGAGGGCGCCATCGCCATGATCTACATCTCTGGTATCGGCTGGGCCCTCGGCTGGAACTCGATGTCGTACCTCCTCACTGCCGAGCTCTTCCCTCTCCGCGTCCGCGCCCTCGCTACCTCCTTCTCCATGACCCTTCACTTCGCCGCCCAGTACGGTAGCAGCCGTGCCGTGCCCAACATGCTGGCGTCCACCAGCGTTGGCGGCATCTCTCCTATGGGCACCTTCTGGTCCTTCGCCGCCATCACCGTCGTCGGCGGCATCTGGGTATTCGTCTTCGTGCCCGAGACGGCTGGTCGCTCTCTGGAGAGCATGGACCGTCTTTTCGAGCTGCCTTGGTACAAGATCGGCCTGTACGGTAATAGGGACGCCGAGGAGAGGGACGTTGTCTACAACGAGAAGCAGGAGACCGCCATCGCTGTCATGGGACACGTCGAGCATGCGGAGGAGAGAAAACCCGCCCAGGTTTAGGGTCGACGGGGCAAAGATGCTATAGGCATCTGACTGGTGAGAATGCTATATAATGAATGCAATATACCCAATAATGACTTGATTTCCAATCTCGCCTCCCTGATGCGCGTGCCTTTTGCGGCCATTACTCTGTTCTCATCAACATGCTGCAGCGACCAGTCTTGCTGAAGCTCTTATCCACAGCCCGGTTATCGACCCGAGAAAATGACAGTACCTACGTCTATTTCGTCCGTTCCACATACAATCTAAGCGTGCTCAGGTGTCAGGGAATCTGAATTTTGATACGACGTTGGTATCTGGTGTAGTTAATCGGCCAGAACCCCCACAAAAACGTTGCTTTCCTTGGGATCTCGGAGGACGGATACACACCTAGGTCTACAGAGTTACTTAACTCCCAAAGCCACCCACCCTAGTCGTGTTTGTAGGGAGGATGTTCAACTGGGGTGTACCTTGGGCAGAGTAGCTGACCGTTGTCGTCCTGTTCTACAGTCTGACTCGGGTGGTTGAAAACTGGAATGATACGGGGCCTATTGATCTGTTTTTCCTGGTTCGTCCAAACTTGCGGCGGGTACCCACAAAGCAGTAAAACCAAGTAAATCTCAAATTTGCGGGGAGCAGCATCTTGGGGCCGAGAGTTCGGATAGTTTATGTCACGATATATAAGCCACTATTCCTGCCTACGTAACTAACGGTATTGTTTTGTTACGTAACAGTTTAGATGGTGGCCCTTCCATCCTCTGACCTTGAAAACGGCCGAAAATGGTACGCGTCTGTCTCCAAGTGGTATATTTACCATGCTCTATGCAACTGTTAGCTATTAGTTGTTCAATAATCTGTAGAATCACACGGGGAGATCTTGTGTTAACAAGAACGATGGTTTAGGAATGAGACATAGTAGGTGTGCCATGGCGCTGAAAGACTTGTCAGGAAGTTCTGCAATGTGTGTCTTTCCCACGCCCGAAGGGCAAAACGTACGAGACAGCACAAAAGTGCCATACTGAAAGCATAACACCACATTTATATTGGAGTTAAGCCGCGGCGGTTCTAGTCGCCCTTGCGCATCCCGGATGAACAGAGCGCGGCGCCTGACCACATCATCGTTGACAAACTGCGCAGGTTTGCGACCGTTTTTCGCCTGCTAAATGAGTATCTCATCTGCATGAAGTGCCCCGTTGCTCAAACTAAGGGACTTATATACTATATTGAACTATGGGTGTAAAAGACAGAAGCTACCGCAGAGTGCTCCACCGACAGAAGATCGTCGTTACGGGCAGAGGATGGAGGAGTCTGCAATCACGTGCCTCCTCCGGCCTCGGAGCTGGCCCGGCCTCCGTAGATACTGCGCAGTCCAACAGAAATACTAGCTAATAGAGGCAAAGGGGGAAAGGGGGGGGGAGGCTTAAGCAACTTCTGCCCACATCCTGTCTGAGCCTCGTAGTGGCAGCTACTCACCACTCCAAGAAGCCTTTAGTTGGAAAATGGCATGCCGTGCTCAAGGTCATCACACATGCTGATATGCCGGACCTTTGTGTGGTCCTTCCCCGTCAAGATGGGAATACTGAAGCTGCCTGGTCCAGCGAGGGAAAATTAACATGCCGGCGTCGTAGTTGGGAACTGCCATCGCTCCGCCGCGCGGTTGGTTAGAGAGAACAGCAGACGGTTTGTGACTCAGTAAACGACCAGTTTGAGATTGTCGGTGCCAACTCAACACATTTCGGCATCATCAGCTCTCCTTTGCAAGTCGCCAGTTGGAAGTTAGGGGAAAGAAAAATATCGTCCGTCGTTCGGTTCTTGTTGACCTCGACGTACGCCGGTGTTCCGGCACGTCTCCACGACTTTGATTTAGACTGAGACGGGGTCAGGGGGGGCGGGGATCCGTCTACCGTGCACTCAATGTTCTGTGTGTGAGGCGTTTGCGCGTCTTCAGCCAGGACGGCAATCTGGATGGCCGAATCTTTGAAATGCGCTCCGGCATCCTTCCGGTCTCAAATGGCCTCATCATTCGAGGCCCAGCCACTGATGGAAGACTCCCACAGCTTTTGTCGAGGAATTTACATAAAGGCAGCATTTTTCAATGCATTGGGTGTACCAGCTCTTCGCGCGTGGAATAACAGAAAGGCCGCCCACTATCTCTCGTTCTCCTGCCAAAGAACCCTTGTATGAGACAACTTTTTAGGTGGATTTCGAGTGGCGGACCAAAAACCGCATCTCTTAGGATGAATAGATACCTTTTGGGTGTAAGCGTCCTTTGGATTAAACAAATATCCTTCAGACGAAACAAATCTATCTGAGACCAAATAGACAGTCTTTGGGTGGAATAACTGGCCACAGGCGGTTCTCAAAAGCAGCAAACGAGCCGTGTTGTTGTACAAGATAGACAAATACCGGTCGATAGATCAACGCAGGACGAGACGGATATTGACCGCTAAGCTTGACTTGATATCCTTTTGTTTCTGTTAATTTCAACTGAGCCTATAGAAGTAAATTCGGACGACAATGATAGCGTTGTGGCCAGCCGAAGACATTGAGTTAAGACCTAATTAGAACTTGAATGCTGAGGACATGGGGAGTATGATTCTGATGTACTACCCGACCTACGACCCCGAGGCAAAATTCAACTCCATTGGCCACCGCCAGTGCCGTGGAGTCTTTCACCCTGCCACCTATGAAGGCGGGGAGCTTACCCCAGGCGCAGAATGTTTCCATGAGATGTGGAAGAACTGCAAACTCCCACTCTGGGTCCTGCACCCTGGCATCTACACCAATTGCGGGCAACTGAGTAGCTGGCGGCATAGATTCTCGCAGGTTATCGTCCCATGCATCCTTGGACTCATCCAGCGCAAGCGGCAATGCACACACGCCTTCGTCTACCCGACGACACCATTACTTTCCCGTACGATAACGGAGACAATGATTGCAACAAGAGCAATACCGAAGCCGCAAAGCTGTTGTAATGTGATCTTGAGGAAAATTCTTGTCAAAGCAGTCAATAGTGGATAATTCCTGTCGCCTGTTTTGACATGACGACTCAAGCGTGAGTCCGAGAAGATCCCGTGTACCGCCCATCACAACATTGTATGTAGGCGAGAGCGCGGTGAATATCCGAAATTGACTGGGCACAACATCGGAACATAATATTGTCGAATACTAATGTCCAGGCAAGGCAGGAAGTCTATAGAAACAGCAGAACGCAACCATAGAACCTCGATCAAGCGATTGCTGATGGCAACCGTCTCGTGAAAGTGGTCTCTAGATAAGCAAGTCTCCGTGGCCCAGGGAAAGCCGAGGAACTCATCAGGCGTATCTAGCACGCCGTCCGGCCGAGGATGAGAAATACACTGGTTGGCTGTTCAGTCCCTGTTAATAACAATCAAGCTCCAGGAATGGCCGACTGGAGACGAGGCGGCGGCTTTCTTCATTCCATTTCATGGCTGCGGATAGTTCCCGTCTCGAATCAGCTGCAGTATGAGCTTACGACGAGCCTTTACCTGTACCGAGAGACTATCAGCCCGGAAACCTCAGAGTCAGTGCTATTCAAATCCATGCGGTCGCAATACTCACAATGGTGGCGCAGCTCAGGCATTCAGGACAAACATTGTTACACGGGAGAGATAGCGGGTATCGGAGCGAATGTGTCCATTTTCGCCACTTGTCTTGCGGATCAATAAGGCCACCGTCCACCTATGATGATATGATAGTCGTGAGTTGATAGATTAATCCAAGAGGCCTATCTTGCGATACGAGCTCTGGCATGGGTTCTCTGTTGGGCGACTGCGTATAGTACATACTGAAATGGTATCTAGAAAAGCTTTCCGACGGCTGCTACTGTCATTTGTCAGGGTGCACGGAGGATGATCGTGCATCTATCTTCGATCTCTTGTAGAGCGCCGTTTATTCTTCGAGTCAGCGATGCCTCTTAGTGGCGATGAAGACCACTTCGTATCATATCGGCATTGTGATCTAGATTATGAGAACGGGACAAGAGATAGTTCGAGAGACTCGTTACGTTCAGGAGGTCGCACACAACGGAAGCAAACATCCACCCCATCAAGACATGTAGAGCAGGGTTTCTTATCCTTCTTCTGGGGGACACGGGGGCGGGTTTCCGTCAAATTCTCGCCCCCAAATCCTTCGAGCTGCCATCAAAATGATCATATGGTAGCATCCTAACGGCTCCTTCCCATGCGAACCCGCTAGGTGTGGTAAGCGACTGGGCCCTCCACAGTCAGATACAACATTGCAATCGCTAGGTGCAACTCCTGGCGCGGTAACAACTACAGCTTGCTCGAGAGCAAAGATGGCGTATTTTGCCTCTGGACATAGTAACATAACCAAAGAATCCTTGCAATAAAGACCTCAGTGCCCGCTAGTAAGTGTGGTAGGTCGTGGGAACAGGGTAGTAACTAAGGCGTAGCTGTGGCGCGTCATGACGAAGATAAGGGGCTGGCCTGTGTCGATTATCAAAAGTCCTAGACTACAGGCAGATTGCCAACTGAGATGATCATCTCGATACACGAGCCGGCAATGACGCACTTTCAGATAGAACTAGTCATTGTTGATTTCTGTATGGTCAGGCTGCGGGTCGTCCCCAACTTAACAATGCAATATAAAGATAAGGTGGGCGCCTGTCGGAAATCACCAGGTATGACAAAGAGAATATTGCGTACGGATATAATCGCAGGGAGAACATGGAAAAGGCTCCCAAACCGTTGATCGCAACTTCGGCCCCGACGTCCGTAGAGCCCGGGCTTGACCAAGCAGCCAGACAAGCCCTAGGAGCTTGGCGGGCATGCTGTCTGTGGGTGGCCCACGGCTAAGAGTTTGATGTTCTAGAAGTCTGGCACCCACTTGATATCGCATCGTCGGCGGACACTTTGGACGTTCTGGCCGACACTTGTTGCCATTTGCATTTGGGGCGCAATCTCGGGATGAGATTCACGGCGGGGGTCATGATCCACTCGTGACCCTCAGCCAGGGCCCAGCGCCATGGCCAGACTCTTCTTGTCTCTCTCTCCGGGAGGATCGAACATCATTAACCGCGGCTCGGGGACACTGTGGCTGATTAGGCCCCAGAGGAGGCTTTCTGAAGCATCCAGGCCGTCGGCTGAATCTCCAACTCCTCAGATTGGTCGTGATCATGGGATATACGAGCGATCCTCTGGAGACAGGCATTTGCGCGGAAGGGTTCATTTTCATTGTGTGTTAGGGATCAAAACACAATCGGAGTGATTGCCTTTTCCTGGTTAGACCGCAAGCCTCGGCCATCGTATTGCCCACAAGTGTGACGATCTGTGGATACCGAGAAACCCCGGCATCATATGGAAGAAACTCTTGGCAACTCCTTTGCCAGATTGTCTCAGTAGCGAATCGCGACCTGTGGCGTTTTTCTGGGAGGAAACCGCGGAAACCCACGGAGCCGTTCGTGAGAAATCAACTTTACTGGAGACTGGCCACCCCTTTGAAGGGGCGGACTATCAGCCAGACCCATGGGATGTCTATTGTGGCCAGGGACTGATGAATATGTATTCTAAGGTAGCTGGCCGCAAGCGCATAGCTCCACGCTCGCCCCGTCACGCACACATGTATCATAGTTCGGCAAGAAGCGAATGGATGGCGCTACAAGCCCAGCACCAGTGCAGCAAGCGTCGGTTTTCCCTCCGAGAGGGCCGCAGGAGGCTTATGATGGCGCCAAGCTGAGAGCTTTCTTTTCGCAGAATTGGTACCGAGCATGTGGCAATGCCTACCCAAACTTCAGACAGAGCAAGCACGTCGAACATTGCACAACTGAAGATCGGTCGGGATCTCAGGGTGCCCATGGCACCTGAGGGACGGATGGTTCGATGAACCGTGTCCGCCAGCAATGGATGCTAGACTTTGAAAGTTCGTGTCGAATCTAATCCATAAAAGCCCATCTAAGAGACGGACGGTCCGCTACCCCCCTTGTCGTCGAGGAGGAGCTGTGTGCATCGCTTGTGCTGGCTCAGAATCCTTTTCGGCGCCAGCGGTACCCTGGGCTATTGAAAGAGCTGCCACTTCACTGCACACCGACACGCTGATGATTTCGGATATGTCGTGATATAGGCCGTAATTGCGCAGTGGCAATTACGGATCCGCTTTTGTCATCACAGGATATGCTATCAGACTTGCCCACGAGTTCGAAGCGGCATCGTCCGGGGTCAGTGTTTGATTATTATGTGCTTGAGCAGGAATGATGGAATCTTCTCCCCCGCCAGGAAAACTTGCATAGGAATTCCTCTGGGGAAAAGCTCGACCGCCAGTCAGGTTTCACAGCAGAAAGCTTAGAAATAAGATCTGCCGATATCTTTAAGACATCTTGAGCCACCTCGCTGGATCACGAGAAACCCCCAGCTGGGAAACGTCGACAGCCAGTGTTCCTGTTCCAAGCCATCACCCGCCCGCAAGCCATGGGAATTGTTTGCTAAGGACTGTGGTGACCAGTCATATTGTGGTCGACGTTTGGTCCCATACCGAATCAATTATAAATTAATTACGCCGGGACGAGAGGACATCGTCCAATCAGATGTTCTTCGAGGGCGGGCTAGCGCCGCAAACATGGCGGATCCCGTCCGACACTCTCTCTTCTCTTTCTCGAGCGCTAAATCGTCACATCCGAAAGCGAGCCCCTGACGCACTGCAAGATTATCCTAATCACTGGGACCTGACGACCTCCTAAAGAGACGAACGAGGCGGGTCGGGCTCGCCTCGATCTCTCTGTCGACATGTGCCCACTTCTCTCGCCTGGTGTAATCAGTCCGCGGCGTCCCCTCACCTGTTTCATGACCAACAAGGGAAGACGGCGCCAGTCTCTAGGCCGCAGTGTTATCCTAGTTTAGGTATATGGGTCTATTCAAATCACGACGAGCACCATCATGGGCGAGCCTTCTGAGCATACGCCGTGGCCGGATTTATGCTTATCCCAAGAACCCTGGTCCTCATGCCATGGAATAACCTCTGGACAGCTTTCCACTCCTTGGTCGTTGAATCTGTTTCTTCCTGCGTACTTTGCGGTTCACCAAAGATCCCGAACCACGCACCTACAAGCGTAGATCATATAGACAGGGATAGAGAGCTTATCCGAAATGAATCATTTGGCACTTCTTTCTTTTCTTCCAACATCCCACCCTTGTCAACTCTTATCGAGCTCTGTTCCGTCAAACTGGATAGGCTGCATGCAACAAGGACTGTAGTCTGTGTGTACTGCATGGGGGCGACCAAAAGCTTGTACACTATATTCCTGTCAATTATGAAGCGTTTCGTCATCCGTTTCCCCTGTGAACGTCCTGGCAACGCGGTGGTGATCCGGAATTAGGGTGACTGCTGCGGGAATGTCCAACGGAGAGGGAGAATGACGTTTCCAACACGAGTTGGCCAAGATTCACACTCATATAAGAAGGCTGCACCAACCCGAACTCTTCGGACACTCTCTTCTCTCCCCCTCATCTTTAGCATCTTCCACTACAGTCACTCTTTACTGATCCAACTACTCACGTTCTTTAGCCCTGGTGGTTCATTCATTCGTTGCTACATACCTTTCAGCTTTACCAACTCCCAAGCGGCCCCCCCCCCCCCACCAAAACCGAACCACCACCTTTCCAACATGAAGTTCTCCGCCGTCATCGCCGCCGTCTCGGCCACCGCCGTCTTGGCCGCCCCCGGCGCCGAGTCCAGCCCCAACAACTTCGGCGCCGTCGAGAAGCGCGCCTCCTTCCCCATCCCAGCCTCCAAGGGCACCGTCACCTTCAAGGCCCCCCAGTCCGTCTCCGGCACCTTCGACGGCGGCCTCAAGACCTACGGCCGCGGCGTCAAGTGCACCGGCCAGGCCGAGGGCGGCAACAAGGACGCCGTCTTCATCCTCGAGAACGGCGCCACCCTCAAGAACGCCATCATCGGCGCCGACCAGATCGAGGGTGTCCACTGCATGGGCTCCTGCACCGTTGAGAACGTCTGGTGGACCGCAGTCTGCGAGGACGCCCTCACCCTGAAGGGCGACGGCAACGCCAGCGTCATTGGCGGGTAAGTTCACCGCTCCGATGCCTTCACCCAGCAACCGGCCCGTACTGACTGCGCCTATAGTGGTGCCCGCAGCGCCGAGGACAAGGTCATCCAGCACAACGGTCTCGGCACCGTCACCATCGACGGCTTCACCGCCGTCGACTTCGGCAAGCTGTACCGCTCCTGCGGCAACTGCAAGACCATGGGCGAGCGCAAGGTCGTCGTCAAGAACGTCAAGGCCTTCAACGGCAAGATGCTCACCGGCATCAACTCCAACAAGGGCGACACCTCCTCCATCACTGGTACCTGCGCCACCTCCGTCAAGGAGATCTGCAGCGAGTTCCAGGGCACCACCCCCGGCCACGAGCCCAAGAAGATCTCTACCGGCGCTTCTGCTTCTTGCAAGATCTCCGCCGTCGGGGCTTGTTAAGCGGCTCACTGAGCTTTCTCGTCGATTCAAGTCCCCTGTCTCGGCCGCCCTCGCCGCGCGCTGCCATGTGCGGTTATGTAACCCTTCTGTCTCCGGGAGACCGTGGGCGGGCTTCGTTTTTTCATTAGAGAACGGAGGAAAAGGAACTACAAACTCACTTCCTGTGGTGTTTAAGCTAATACACACCACTTGGCCTCTTGGCTGTTCACTGTATATATAGACATAGAAACCTGTTACAAAAGCAACAGCAAAGATTAAATAACACGCGACTGTATATTGCCTATGTCGAGAATTCAAAGGGGAAGAAGGGATGAACTCTACAGAAGATCTAGCAACAACAGCAGAAACCTTTAGGAAATTATGCTATCCGCTAATTACGTGACCTCCAGTAGTTAGTCTATGCCCTTCCTCTAGCTCCTCTACTTCCCTATTGACATAGCCCTCCTGGCAGTCGTTTTGAACTTGACAGGATTAATGAGCTGAGTTTTCTGACGTGTGAAGGATCACAGCAGAATTACAAAAGTAGACAGCAAACGAGTATAATATAACAGCAAAATAGTAAAAAGAAACAAGAAAGTAAGTGCAAGCAGAATATTCCAACTAAAACATAGGTATATATAAGCAAACAATTTATCCCTTAATTCTCTTCGGAAGATGTATTGGTATTAATAGTAGAGAGGTCTAACCTTTAGCCTTATACCCCTTACTCCTGTTTCCTCGCTATTGACACCTGGTACTAAAGCTGTAAGTGGGATATTTCGTAAGCTACTAACACGTATATGTGACATTTGTTTGCCTCGGAGCTGTCTTGTCGTCATTGCAAATAATTTACTTATTGCCAAGTTGAGATGTCGTAGCATCCTCGCAAACCTTAACAGGAATTAAGGCGATCTGTCATGCAGGTCATCCCAAGTACCTCCACCCGTTCTTGCTAGGTCTCCACCACATACCGCAAACTCTAACGCTAAGACGTTTGTCGACGGCTATCACGGCAACCCGAGCGGAAGCACGGCACCGTCGCGGCATTACGGCACAATCAACCGAGCCAAGCCGGGTCAGCCTGGAGACAGATATGGGCGGTGCACTGGCAGGATGAATCTATTCGCAGCGCAAAATACATTGAAGAAATGGAAAATATGAGCATTTGGACAATATCGGCCAAGGCAACCTGCAGGGGCTCTAGGAAAATTGTCTGGATACAACCGTCGGCCCCGAACAGTTCTTCACCAGAGTCTGGCTGGTTGGTTAACCGCCTAAAGAACGATTAATGGCAACCTGCTAATACTCAGCGACGTCTCCCGCATTAACAACAAAATCAGATGTGTTATCTGTATGCATCTAGTATGATTTGATAGATTTGCTCAACATGTTCTAGTTGCTATCCCAAGGCGCAAAAGAAAAAGAAGTTTAAGCCATCCCCTAGGGTAAGTAAAGGTGGGTAATAGGTGGAAGAGGGAAGGGTAGCATGGGCTTATGTAAGCCAGCCAGCTCGAAGCCAGGCGTAAACGGCTTGACCATTTCTCAACAGCGCCGCTGTGTTACAGCATCAGGACCACGCGAACCCGAGGTTAGACTCATGAAGCGCCGCATATAAGCTCCGGTCCATTGGGGTGTCCGCATAATGGAACCAACCTATACGAGACGTATCCCCAGCGGACGGCCGTCTGATGGCCTCGGCTAGTGCGATATACAAGGGCTTTGTCATTCTTTGACTTTGTAATTTGGCAATTCCAGACCAGTATGCGAGAAACCGGCTGATCACTGGCTTTCAAGACAAATGTCTGGGCGTCAGGACTATTACCCCCATATCCTAATGCCCCTCCGCAGCAAAACCTTGCTTCAGTCATGGAGGTGCTTCGCGGCAGCGCAACCATGCAGCCTGACCGCGTGTCTGCGTTAAAGCTGTTTGAACCGGAACGTCACTATTCTGCAATCAGCCCAGTATGGCCACGACTCTCCAGTAAGGATGCAGTTACACAATCCGTGAGTTGTGCGTAGTCGATATGAAGCGCAAGATGGAGACCGTGGAACGTGGTCTCCACGCCGACTCCTCTCTCTGGACTCATCGAATGAGCCATGGCTATCTGTGGAAGGATACCTAGTTTGCTTGAAAGAACCGCTTAAAATGTTGAGACAAGCTGGGAAGACTGTCAATGCGTCTGTAACGGGCTTATTAAACCAACATTCTTCGACGTGACGTCCTGAAGCCCCGAGCACCAGCAGTGATACCCTACCAGGTAGCTGTTGTTGACAGCCTGATTGATATGTTAACAAAGTAAAGAGGAAGTGGAGGCCATCCGAAAGGACCTAGAACCTAGTCCATTAAAGCCAGTATTTGGACCACATCTCATGCTCGTCCTTGGTTCCTCGGAAGGCGAATTCGACCTCGGTGATGTCTTGGAAGCCTTCCTTGACCTTCGGCTCTTTGAAACGTGACTTGAAGCCGTTGAAGGCCATCTTGGGCAGTATAGTGCGAGACTCGGGATTGAGCTGGAAACTCATCAGTGGGAATCACTGTCGCAGGGACAAGTTTAGACTCACGGACTTGTTCATGGATCGCACAGCGTCGTTGTGTTCGCAAATATGTAGCGGTGTCTTGAACCACACGCATCTGACGGGAACTTTGTGCTTTTCTGCTAATTGAACCCAGACGGCTCTTGTATCATGATCGGCGTTGGTATTGTCTGACTTGTGTCAGTAACTGATATCCGTGGTTGGAAGTCCAGGCTACCGACCGATTGCGATGGATTGACCATCATTCAAGAATTCCTTGGCAGCTTGAACGCACTTTTCTCGACTGCAATCTTGTAAGCGATTCGATGCATCTCAGACTAAGAGCTCAGACAAACTAACGTCTTCAAAGTATCTTGGTTGACCCGCTCGTATCCCAATGGCTTCAGGTGCTTCCAGAAAAACGTGCTCTTTCCGGCGCCAGGCGGGCCACAGAATACGACAATATCCTGCTTATTCTTCTTCTCAAAAAGAGCATCCGAATTGGGAGACTCTAGGTCTTTTGGGTACGGGTAGTGAACAATGTCGAATTCTCGAACAAAATCCCGCGGTTTCTCGCCGAGGAAGAACTCCTCTGGAGTCTTGTACTCGATGCCAACGTTGTCAGCGAAATTCCGATCGGAGCAGCTGAAATCTTTGGCGGTTTTGGATGCGGCTATCCGGCCCCCTGCGTCGCCGACGAAAATGCTCTGCTTCAAGTCGACGTCTGCAGAAAGGTCGTAATCGTCGCAAAGCTCTCGCCACATTCCTGGCCGTGGTTTCCGGTAGATGTCCTTCTCCGTAGCCGCGTACACAGTTATAGGAAGATCGAGTTGAGTCAAGACAGCGTTGACCTTTTGTTTGAATGCAGATACTCTATCTTTGGTCGATTTCGGGGTCTTGGCTTTGGGGTCAGCATGGAGAACAAGGCCGGCTTGGTTGGAGAGCACCACGATGCGATACCTGGCAAGGTCAGCGAGCTCCTAGAAAGATTCCGAAGAAACCACGTACCCCTGGTGGTTATACATCTCCTTCAGCTTTCCAGGAACAGTGGCGTGCCACCACTTCCAGTCCGTGGCAGCGTCGGCGTGCTTCTTGCCAGATGCTGTTGTGATCAGGGTCGAATCCTGAGACGAGATATGTTAATTGCTCTCGTCTGTTTCAGATACAAAGTTCCAACTATCATACCAGGTCAAACGCTGCAACCTTCCTCCTCTTTTCAGATTCGGTGGGGGTATCCTCCGGTTCGTAGCGGCCGACAAGCAGAGTTGCGGGGGTATCGTCGTTCGGGGCACGTTCTGTCCAGACAGTTCGGTCTTTGGGTTTCTGGGATTGCGGTTTGAAGAAATTGGCGACTGCAGTTTCTTCAAAAATAATTAGAAAACGTGTACTCCGCGTCTGTGGACCATTACTCACTGGTCGTGCCGCTTTGGACTTTGCGCTTGACAGGCGGCGGCGAGACCGAGTCTCTCTGTTTCCGCTTGGCGGTCGAAGAGTTAGACGACGACATTACTCGAGTGGTGTGCATCAATCGAAATTTCAGAAAGACAGAAACTGTCCGATTGTTGATTTGCAGTAAAGAACAAGTTCGCATCACGTTGCAAGCAGCTGGATTGGATGTCAGGCCGACGAAATGAAGCTGCTATCTTTGGTGGGGCAGAGCCCCTTCCTGCTTGAATGGGAGCGCGACCACGCGCCTGAACAATCACGCACGGTGACGGGTATCCACGTGATCTTGAACTACGCCATTCCATATCAAGCTTAGCGTGGAATCTCTCCCGCGAGCGATTTCGCCAACACTCACTCACCTTCACTTTGCGCTTATTGAGCTTCACCTTCACGATTCCTCGCCTAGATATCGAACCCGATCTTTACTTTTTCTACGCCTCTGTCCAACGTTTGCCGAAGCATCAATCGTCATGTATGAGCTCTTTCTCACAACGCTCGTCGATGACGATGATATCCAGGCAGCCTGCTCCGTCTTGGGTGGTCTCTGCGCTATGCCCGCCTGGCAGAGTCTCCATCGTGTGCTCTATTTCAAGGGCCCGGCCAAACCGGGTGGGATCTCGAACCAGAATTCTATCCCCAAGACGCCGCGAAAGGACATTCAGATGTTGTGGAAGGACCTGCATCAGCAATTGAGTCGCCAATCCTACATTCTTCAAGCTCGCTATGAGGTGTTCAAGGATAAGGACTTCGGCCCGACCGCCCCGGAAGTGGACTTCAACGCGCGCCCCGGTACCCTTCGGTGGACTGACTTCCCCGACCCTCCCCAGAACCGCTCGTCCGTCACTCAGCGCAAGAAGACGGAGATCTGGGACCAAAGGAACTTGATGTCGGTTATGAGAGACAACAATTACCAGTAAGTGGTGCTGTTCACTAGCAGAGCTCGACGAGATAACCTAACGCAATACAGGTTTAAGAGCGAGGCTGTTGAAGAGACCTATCAGTTCTTCAGGGAAGACGTCGAGTTTTGCCTCTCAAGACACTACATTCTTCAGATGAACGGTGACAATGGCCCCCTCACGCAGACGGCTCCGTGGGAAACCATGTCTCCGGCCGATCCTGGGCGGCGATGGATGTTCCTGATCAAAGTCCATGTTCACCAAGACAACAAACCTGACGAGATCCTCAAGGCACACGAGCAACTGGCCAGCATTCGACGCGAGCTGGAAGGCGTCTTCGATTTTAAGATGTTCGACAGACGTATCCATGACACCCGCGTCGCAGTCGAGGTGCGGAACGCGCCAGCGCCACTACCCCAGGTCATGACCGTTACTGATCAGCGGTAATCGTGGCTAACCTATCCGAAATCGGAGCTGGAAGACCATCTGCCATGACGGCTCATACCCGATGAAGAGAATTCATCGGTGATTACGGAGTCAGAGTGTCGAAGCCTCCAGAGCCAACCACACCAAACACCGAGCCCAGGAAGGCATGTGGCTAGCGGTGCTCTCGATCATCTGTCCATAAACAGAAAGCATGCAAGCGCTGCAAGAAACATTTAGTACTATGCTTGCAGGTTGAGTCACTTAAAACAAAAACATGGCTTACTTACCGAATGCACGAGCACCACTTGAGCTAGGGCTCGTTATGGGAAGCACAGCTATCGATCACTGATAGCTTGGTTGCTAGAAGCAGAGACTATTGGCACTGAGATGGTGTTGCAGCTGACAAAGACGATGGATTCCTCGGTCAAGTTTCAACGCCGTCGTGTGTAAATGGTCTCTGGGAGGCGCGAAAGAAAGCCCCCGATACGCCCGAGCGCCGCAAAGTACACCTGCTATCTGCATGAAGTAGGAAGTAGGAATGGGCGCCACAGAGACGCGGGAAGGGGGAAGAGATTCTGCTGATCCGCAGGGCGAGTACGCAACGATGCATGACAACGGAAATCCACCTGCCCAGAGGATTTACTGGCCCTGGTGGGCCGGCGTGTCTCATCGAGAGTGATGGCTGAGAATTCTATGCTACACTAGAGATGACAGACATCAAGCTTAATTTCTTTTTCACCGATATACTAACGACCCAGCGGATGGGCGCGCCGTCATCCCAATCGTTGGCTATGAGCCGCCAACATCTGACACATGCCATATTCTCTGCCGTTGGGATGTTGGCCGATGCTTAGCCCACCCTGATTGTTGTCATGCGGCTGCAAAAGTTTCCATCGGCCAGGACTCCCGCCCTCTTTTCTCACTTATGGAGGTTGAGCAGGACTTGTAATCTATGGGACACCTGAGACCAGCAGCTTTGCAACTTGTCAACTCGATTCGCCACGGTTGTCACAGAAACTGGCAAAACGAATACCGAATGCAACCTGTAATAAAACAAAGTAAAAAGTGGTATTGAAGCAAGCCGCTGCGTCCTGTTGACACTCTGAGAGTGTGACGTACAGCGTCATGTCTGCCGCCAGCGCATGGTCAGAATAATGGGCCTTATTTTTCTCCAGAGTGGCACGAAAGATGCCAAGTCTTGGAGTCCTGCCGTCCCCCCTGTCAGAATTGGCGCCATCATCCATGACCTGGTTTCAAGCTGATTAAACGCAGCGTTCAGTCGCGCGACTAGCCTCTTTTCTATTGCTGCTTTCTGGAAGAGTTGACAGACTTTTCTGGCCCCCAAGATATAGTCTCGTTTCACTCGGAGATGATTCCCCTCTGGATGGAATCATAGGGCCACTATTATAAATCCCTCCCCAAGTTCTCGCAAACATCCGAGATGAAAGGAAATATGGTTCAATATTTCCACATTTCTGCTCTCTGCCCTCTGCGAGCTGTTGCATATCGACAGCAACTGCCGCTCACTTCCCGCCCAGCTCAGGTGCGTAGAACAAATCGGCCCGGTCATCAGCGGCAGTGGGAATCCCCCAGCATATTGAGTTAGGATCCGGCTGCCCAAGTTGAGGATGCTTGTCGGTCCCTAATGCTGCATTCTCAGTGGCCTGTCTCCCAACACCGCTCTTTACTCGTAACGCACGTGTTCGGCAGCGGTGCGCGATCCCCAGCAGGGCCTGTCGAGGGATGGGGATGGACCACTTTGGATGACACAATCCATCGGCGCACCAGATGCTAGCCATCCCTGGACGAGGGTGGCGATCACCGACGCCCGCCCCGGCCAATCGGAAACATTCAAGCGTCGTGTCAATCTGCCCCAATTGTTAGCTCGCGGGAAGTCGAGAAGCACCTAGGAACTCAAAACGCAGTGCCGCGCAGATCCGATCTAGTCCTGCGCTTCTAAGTTCTACGCTACCCGATGTCGCTCGCGGAAAGCTATCAATCCAGGACACGTTCACTATCTGTTGAATCATCGAGTGAAACATTGCACAAAGATCCGACTAAACGACTTGCCCATCCCGTTTTCGACACCACGAACGACTGTACGCCACCAGTTGGCAGGTTCTCCAGTGGTTTTGCCGCGCTGCAAGGCTCTATAGCGCCAGGGGTATATTTGCCGTTTGTGTTTCAGGTTCGGACGAGCAGCGGAGAGGCAGAGGAGGTCGAGGGAACTCGGGGTTTGCACTGCAGCGGCCGGCCACAACGCCCCGAACAGTCATGTCCGTCAGGGGGGAGAGAGGACTTAGATTAACCTAACCTAGGACGACGACGAGGGCGTCTTTCTTCGCCACGCAGAACCCCCCCCCCCCCCGGGGGGGAGACATGTGACGAATGAGGAAGCAAAAGCAGTGCACACCAACGACGCAAAAGGCGTAAAATCAAAAAGCGAGGGTCTCGAGCCGAGTCGAAGTGGCGCCAGGCGCCTCAATGCCCACGCCGCTCCCCATGCTGCAAGGCACGCATCCCGCAATTTAGACACGACAGCGGGTATCCCCATAACGTTAACCCTTTTTGGGATTACTGCTCCAATCAACGGCGGACCGACCAGCCGTGACGCAGGGGAGACTGGGCCGTACCGGTTGTTTGCCCGAGGGAATGACGCCCATTCACTCCCGACAACCCCTCCCTTGTTTGTTCCGTCGATATTAATCCTCGTCCAGAGGCGGGAGAAGAAGGTATCCCCTCCATGCTGATTAGCCGAAACAGTGAGGCGGCATTGCGGTCAGTGGGACGAGAGCTACGTATGCAGTGTCCCCTATCCAGAATTCAATCTTGGCGGCTTCGGACTGGCCTGCTCATGCCCGCAGTGGAGGATGTCAGTAAGATGCCAGAGAGTGAGAGTGGGATGGAGCGGGCTAGATGGAAGGGGTGAGGAGGGGCTTCGAGAGTTGTCGAGGCATACATATAGACCCAGCTCGCTGTCCTCCTGGAAAGAAGTTCTAGCTATTCTCTCTCTATCAGCTTTCAGTCACTCATCTTTCCACTCTTTGCTTTCCGTCATTCTCTCAGCCCGACGCCGGCGTCCATTCACTCGTTCCCCACCTTTTGTGTGCACATACGCTTCTGTCGCCCGGAATCACTTGTCCCTCTTCTCACCGACAACCACCCCCCGAACCGCCAAGATGAAGTCTATCGCTGCTCTCGCTCTTACCGCCTCCATGGCCAACATGGTTGCCGGCCACGCCATCTTCCAGCAACTCTGGGTCAACGGCAAGGACCAGGCGGACACCTGCGTTCGCATGCCCGTAAGTCGACGTCGAAACCGTCGAGTCCACGGCCCCAGAGCAAGGCAGAAGAAGAATACTGACCCCGTCGTTTTCCGGTAGGCCTCCAACTCTCCCATCCAGGACCCCACCTCCGACGACATGCGCTGCAACGCCAACGCCGCCAAGGCCGCCTCCACCTGCGCCGTCAAGGCCGGCGACGTCGTGACCGTTGAGATGCACCAGCACAACGACCGCGACTGCACCAAGGAGGCCATCGGCGGCGCCCACCACGGCCCCGTCATGGTCTACATGAGCTCCGTCGCCGACGCCGCCGCCGCCGACGGCTCCGAGCCCTTCTTCAAGATCTTCGAGTCCGGCTACTTCGCCGAGAACAACACCTGGGGCAACGACCTCATCAACGAGGGCTGCGGCAAGCAGAACGTCGTCATCCCCGCCGACATCGCCCCCGGCGACTACCTCCTCCGCGCCGAGACCGTCGCCCTCCACGCCGCCGGCTCCGCCAACGGCGCCCAGTACTACATGTCCTGCTACCAGCTCAAGGTCGAGGGCTCCGGCTCCGCCAAGCCCGCCGGCGTCACCTTCCCCGGCGCCTACAAGGCCACTGACCCCGGTCTGTTGATCAACATCTACAACAAGATCGCCAACTACGTCATCCCCGGCCCTGCCCTCTACAAGGCCGGCTCTGCCTCTGGCTCCGGCTCCGGCTCCGGCTCTGCCCCTGTCGCCTCCGCTGCCGCTGCCACCAGCGCCGCTGCCGCTACTCCTACCACCCTCGCCACCAAAACCGCCACCGCTGCCGCCACCACCTCCACCGCTGCTGCCGCCGCCCCCACCGGTGGCGCCGACGCTGGCTGCAAGCGTCGCGCCCGCAAAGCCCGCCGCTCTGCCCACTACTAAGAGAAACGCTGCCCCAGTGTACGAGCGAGCGTCTCAGACAAGTTTACATAGGGGAAACAAGTATTCTTCCGGGTCTATATTAGAAGTTCTTTGTACATAGTATACAGCGTAATTCTGCGTTTTACGCCCTTTGAGAGTGGCACCAGACAATATAGCATGAGTGTCTTTCAACTATTGTGTTCCTATGACTTGCGTGTGATGTGCGTACGATACCGAGAAATATAAATGTTCCAGTTTGGCGTGGCTCAACATATCTCATTGAAGATCGCATGGTATGCCGTTGATGAGACCTTATAGAATGATACCCAGAAGCCTTGTAGCCTTGTATACAAGTTCTACAAATGAGTCACTTTCCCTTTCACTTCGTAGACATCGAGCTTTATTCAATTCATTCTTTGTGGAATGTTTCGTTGATGACTGGCCCCCTAGACATCTCATTGACAGTTTGAGACCGCCATGCACTCGAACTGTGCTACGTTTCTCAACAACAAAACTTGCAAAAAAGACAAGGAAGCAGATTTGAGTATAAATGTATTTTCATGAATATGTCCAGACTAAATAATGTACGTGTGCAAAATTGCTATCAGTAGCATAAGAACTCGCAAATGCCTCCGAATTCCAACAGCAAAATGTCAGGCTCCAGTCCCAGAACCCCTTCAAGGGTGATTTGAAATGAAGTCATATATGTACAATGCCACTTCCAGGTGGCGGAGATGAAAAAAAAAGAAAAGAAAAAGAAAAAGAGGCTCCTACGAGCTGTACACGGCGACGTACTTGACCTCCATCCGCGAATCCTTGCCCCCGACGGTCTGCGCGGTGGGCGTCTTGGAGCCCGCCTTGGCGTCGGGGAACTCGCCGCCGACGGCGACGTTGAGCAGGAGCATCTTGGGCGTCTGGGCGAGGTTCTTCCAGAAGGGCTCGTCGCCGACCTGCTGGCCCGTGACGGTCTTGGTGGGCTTGTCGTTGACGTACCACACGAGCTTCTCCGTCGCGAAGCCGCCGCCGGCCGAGCGGTCCACCTCGCAGGCCACCTTGACGAACTCGCCGCGCGGGAACTCGGCGCTAGAGCTGATGCCCGTCTTCTCGTTGCAGGGCCCGCCGTCGATGACGCCGCAGTGGGCCGTCTGGAACACCTTGCCGACGCCGTTGGAGACCTCGAGCACGTCGAGCTCGCCGACGCCGGGCCACGAGGTGACGTTGGCGCGGAAGGCGGAGCCCATGGACCAGAATGCCGGCCAGATGCCGGCCTGGGTCGACGGGTCCGAGGCCGGGATCATGATGCTCGCCTCCATGCGCAGCTTGCCGCCCTCGGGGCACTTGAAGTCCTGCGCGGCGTTGGTCTCGATGCGGGACGAGGTCCAGGCCTCGCCGTTCTTGATGGGCGTGATCGTCAGCGTGCCGCTCTCCGAGATGGCGATGTTGGCCGGGTCCTTGGTGTAAGTCTGGATCTCCTGCGTGCCCCAGTTCGCCGCGCCGCCGGGGTACCCGGTGCCGACGTCGAACGTCCACTTTGAGGCGTCGGGGAGGGCGCCGGCCTTCTGTGTTGAGAAGTCGTCCTGGAAGACGATTTTGGCGTAGCCTTCAGGGAGGGTCGGCTTGCCACCGCCGCCAGGCTTGGTCCCGTTTCCTCCACTGGGAGTGCCGCTGGCCACAGGCGTAGGACTAGGACTCGATGGCGTTGGTGCCCCAGTCGCCTTAGCGTCACTGGGAAGAGATGAAGATGTGCTGGTGGGGATCGCGGAGCTCTGGGTGGGGTCTCCCTTGCGCGGGTAGGGTGCCGGCGAGGACCAGCCGAGGCTGAAAAGCAGGGGAAGGAGACACAAAGCCTGTTTGGTCGACATGATGGGTATCTTTGTTGAGGATGACTTGCAAAATGTGGAAAAGAGGAGAAAAGATATATATATATATATAATGAAGAGAAGGAAGAGGATTAACGAGGCCAAATGCTCGAAATCCTATAGGTGTGATGCTGAGCTGAAATAATTACATCTCAATTACAACGAGATATGTCATATTCTTTATAGTTTATCGACTCTATATCAGATGGTTGTTATATTCATTTCTTTTAGAGTTCGTTCAGCAAAGACTACTGCTCTTTGTTCGAAGTCCGAGGGTCCAGTTCATGCGTGTGTAATCATGCATGGAGGCAGCTATTTCCAGTGTCGTAATAAATCTGTAAACATAAGGTTTCCACCAGCAGTCGATATTGATGTAGCATCGCTTGCCAAATAGATGGCCCCCAGACACACCATTCCGTCATTCGCTTGCACAGCTGGCGGTGGAGTGGATCCCAGAGAGCTTTGACGTGAACTATTCCAAGTGTGTCCAGTGTCCGACATCTCGGCCCGCAAATACTTTCGAGCACAACTTCTGTTAATAGTTCGTGGCCCAGACGTCAGGCCGGTCCAGTAAGGGGCAAAAGCCCCTTAACGGCCAGTAACTTAGCAGACAACCTTAAATTTCCTACCAATGACTCGGGGATATCGCTGCTCCCCTTCTGATGATCGTTCATGCGATTGGGACCGGGCCCAAATGGGACTTAACGTTGCCGTTAAGGCCATGGTTCTGCCATCCCATATGCCATCAACGTCAAACATTCGACATCTATTCGAACCAGTCTGAATTTACCTCTCACAGGCACACACCCAGAATGGACATTCCTGGCGCACGCTTTCGGATGGACGTTGCGCAGAGCTAATTCACGTGAGGATAACTACAAATCGGTGTAACATACATGATTTCTTCTCCTTGTCAAAAGGCGTCTTGGCATGCAACGAAATGACGACCAATTCAAATCATTCAATGCTGTGTACCTGTGGGACCTTGAGAGGGACCCTTTTGTAACCATACTTTAATAGGCGATTCAAATGTGACCGTCCAAAGAGTTAACTGCACGTGCTGTGCACAATATACTCAAGACTCCGACATCTTGACAACGTTCATGCAACACAGACATTTCGACAATATTCACCGATATCATGGTGATTTTGGCTTACTGCCTCGATTGAGCCCCTGTTTAGCGCTGCTCTGCCCCATTCTTCGGGGTTTAGCAAGCCCAAGCAGGGTTGCTGGTAGAGCTGTTTCATCGTTGCTATTTTTGCTACAGAAGCCTAGTCTAGGACTTCACCGAGTATATTAATCAATGGACAACGCTGAGGAAAGCATTTCCAACCGTATGAAGCAAATAACATATCGAGACATTCTTAAGCCACATTTCCTCCGTGTGACTTCCTGAATCTGTTACCCCTCAGATGGCGGTTCCGACTTAACCAAGTTATCTCACTTAAATGCGCTTGTAATATCCTTCTGTTCTACAAATCTCTTGGCTGCTTTGTGCACGGGATAGCACATCCACTCCGATACTTTGGTTCCGTGCACAGCTGACTCAATTCTGTGTTGCCTTTCTCTTTCCAGATCGTTTATCCACTTGTCGGTCCCACTAGGTTTATTGTGGTGCAAAATGCGCCATCATATGACACCATCAACTATCACGAAGTACATGTTGAAATATAGTGCACACTACAGCGCCCCCTGGTACCATCCTCCACCCTGGTACAACCATGTGACGTTCGGCAGTGCTACTTCCAGTTCATTCACGATGCCTCGGATGCTGATGGTGGCGCCTAGGATGCTGTGGAGGAGATCTTCTTGGCAGATTTCGATCCAAGGCTGTTGTGGAGATGTTCTATATTCCCGTTTCAAGTTCATTATTACCAACTATGTACGCTATAAAAGATACCAACATGTAAACGATTCTGGCTTCAGTTTGTGACCCAAGCAAGTAGTTTATCTTTCAAGTTCTTTACTAATGCTAGCGGTGGTCTTTTCGGGAATATCATGTATCTGAGCCCATGCAGGCCGCAAATTTGGCAGCAACCCAGAAGACGCATGCCATGTCATGATAAACACATAACCATTGTGTTGTTTCAGCATGTTTGTCTCTTTTCGACCTCTTCTCAAGTCTGAATTAGCAGAACATGGCAAAGACTGACGGGTTTACCTCCGAGTCACCCATCCAAACAATCAGGATGACACCCTCATCTCTCAGACTTTTATTCACAGACCGTTCCAGACTACTAGATGTGAATTGGTATAGTAAGTTGCAGTTAGTAAGACCATGGGGAGTTTTGAGGAATTCAAGGCGAAGAAGCGATCTCTAAACTTGCTATCTCTGCGGGGAATTGCTCTCCCTGAGCATTTTCTAATACTCTTCACCGCGAGAGAGTTCGAATGACGAGGGGGCCGGAGGGTTTATTTAGGGATTCATCACTTGACCCTTCTTCAATTCTCGCTATTCTCGTTTTGCCATGTTGTTTCTATTTATTTTCATTTCTTTTACCGCAGTTAGCTCTGCGGAAGTATGATTCTGGCACTTCACTTCCCGCAACGATGATATCTGCCACCACTATTAACCATCAGCTTATCAATAGACGAACAAGATTCTCAGAATAAGGACATGCACCTCAACTCCCTTCAAAGTGAAGTTATAAGACCAGCCTTGGGCACTGTAATGTAACTTTGTGAGCCCTCAGCTACATACTGACGGGAGACACCAGCCCAGGCTAGGTGTAGTTTTCATGAGATGAATGTAAATCACTGACAGTTCAGCTTGACCAAATGGGGCGCGGGGAACATCTACACTCATTGATGCTGTGTAACGTTGGTAGCCTGATGTGCACCTCTACTCAACAATTTTGACGCAAGGGATGACAACTAGCAGAATGGTAGATAAGGCTTCGAAGATCTCATCCTCCCCTTCTCTTGCTCAAACCCACCTCAATTCAACATTGTACTTTTCGGCGTCAACCGTGCAACCCTGTTTAGCATAGGCGAATCTGTCGCGGCTTTTGCTCTTGCCGGCAACATCCTCCAGTTTGCCGAGTTTGCGACAAAGTTTGCTAACAAATGTATCAAGATTCACCGTTCTGGTGGAGGCGCCCCCAATGAACTCCGCGAACCCTACGACTTTGTGACTCGCCAGCAAACTACATCGCGGGGGCTGCACCAATCCGAGGCTGAGCGCACAAAACTGTTGCCGGAACACTCTGAAGTTTTGCAGGTATCTGACCAATGTTCCAAGAAGTTCTCTGAGATCCGGGGAACCCTGGATGATATTGTTCTGAAGGGCAACAAGATTGCGTGGGGAACTGCCACTACTGCGTTCAAGGCGACATGGAATGAGAAGAAGATTGTAGATCTCAGAAGCGATGTCATGCTCTTCAGCCAGGGCCTCCAAACTGCTCTTCTCCGTTAGCTAAGGTAAGAGTTTATGTCTTCTCGTTCGCGTTTCACCGTATATTTTTATACGGTCTTGCTATTTCATGGCTACCACTGTTCCATCTCCTGAGGTTTTGCTCAGTTGTCCTGCGGGTGCTGATAATAGCATACCGTGCGAAATGTTGCCTAGAAGCAGCTTCCAGAATTAATGTATAAAACTTGCCTGTTATGATTGCTCTGCTGGATGGCCTCGACCTCGCGCTGCAGACGAATATTTATGGTGTCGGTGTTTTCTGCACACAAATTTACAAGCGTCTTTTCCCATCAAAGAAAACGATACATAATCAAGATTCCGATTCTTGGATAGGAGGTGGCATGCTAGAACCAAACGTTCGCCATCCTTTCCTCGCGCTCGCAGCGCGGGCAGGCGTGGTGGAATATGTTAGGTACAGAGCTTCACCTGGGTGCTTGGAGAGATGGGGCTCTCTTTACCAGCAGAAGCGAGCCGGCAGGACCACGAAAATCTTTTCGAAAATCTCAAGAGGCTTTATAGCAGATTTGCACCCTTTATGGTGGCCTCTGCTTCTTGACGCAGCCCTTCCAGCCCACCCGGAACCGAAAATGCTCGAATGCTGTCTTGAGATGGGCGCTGATGTCAACCTTCGGATTAATAATAAAAAGGGATTGACTGTCTGGGCAGCTATCTTGAGTAACGTCTTGATAGATATGATTCTGAGAGACAAGGAGCCGACGAGACAACAGGAAGAGGCTACTTTGGTGCTATGGGAGCCTTCGATGAGATTGCTCATTGGCCACGGCGCAAGCGTCGACAAAATTATCGTTAAGAAAGCAGGAAAGTTGACAGGAAAGATAGTTTCAGAGCGAGACAGAGAGTACCTGAACGGAGAACTCGTACCACGGCTCTACCAATCCATTCAACGCATCAAGAACGGGGAAGGAAAGCGTTAATGCAACTGGTCAAGAGAGTTAGAAATAAAACCAGAAGGACTTTGATTGGAGTTTTTTGATCTTACGGACACCTAGAATAGAAGAAACCCCCCTCCGATACATAGCAATGGACTAATCTTGCAACTGCACGCGCTATAGAAGGCCCTTCTCCGGCACAGTATACATGAAAATATCCTCTATTTGGAATTCAGATTTCTCCCGATGGCTTCCGAAACCCTTCCAACAAAGTTTCCAACTCCCTCATCCGCAAAACGGCATCTTGAACCGTAGGCCACCGCCCATCCTCCTCAACATCCCCCCTCCCGGCCTCGACCCACCTCGCAAACCTCTCGTACACCTCCCCGACACTCCTCGCCCGGACCGGCAACTCCTTCTGCCACCCCTCCCAGTCCCACGACACCTCCTCCACTTCGTCCCTCTCGTGGTCGTGGACCCGAACCACGACCGGCTCATCATACGAGTCCGAATGCAAGTACGGGCCCGCGGGGCTCTCGACCTCGACCTCCCCCTTCTCTCCGACGATCCTCCACACGAGAGCAGGCCGCCCCTTGAACGGCGGCCCGTTCCGGAATCGGACCGCCAGCGTCGCGCCGTCGACGGCGTCGTCGTTCTCGCGTCCCCGCAGGGCCCCGTGGACGGCGACGAAATCGGGCACGTCCGACCGGACCCGCCGCGCCGCGCCGTCGCCGAGGAGGACCCTGACCTCCGGCCGCTGGATCTGCAGCCGGCTCTCGAACCCGCCGTCAAACTCCCCGAGCACGTGGTGGACGTAGTCGATCATGTGCGCGAACGCGATCGTGACGGGGTTCCCGCCGACCTTCCTCTCGGCGAAGTACGCCAGGCCTTCGGGGAGTTCGTCCCGCGGGAGCAGACTGCCGTACGCCTCGACGTCGCTCCCCAAAACCTTCCCGATGCGGCCCGAGTGAAGGACCTCCCTGATGCGGAGCACGACCCGGGCCGCCCGCCCCTGCAGCCCCACGATGCTGCCCCAGCTGGACTGCGCGATCAGCCGCGCAAGCGCCTCCGACCTCTCGAGGTCCTCGGCGGGGGGCCACTCGACGTACACGCCCTTTCCCGCCCTCGCAGACGGTGCGACAACGTCAAAATGCGTGTCGACGCGGGTGCTGCAGACCACGAGGTCGACGTCGGAGTCCCGCGCCAGGGCCTCCGGGTCGCCGTAGGCTTTGACGTCGTCGGGGAGGCCGTAGTGGCCGCGCGCGGCCTCCGCGGCTTTGATGCTGGAGTTGAGGAGCGCAGTGATGATATAGTGGCTGCGCCCGCGCGGGGAGAGGAGGTACGGGAGGTGGCTCTCGGCAGCCCATGATGTCGTAGCATTGGCGGAAAGGCCGATCAGGGCGACGCGGATGGGAGTCATTTTCTTTTTTGTTTTACTTAAACAAGACAGAATGCGCTTTTGCGAGAATATGCGAGGAATCCGAGCTATAGATGTAAGCCGTCTGAATGCAATCGATCATGGAACAAATTTCCACAGTTTCAGGGTTGGTCACCACTTATATAGACGAATATTTTCCTATATTTGTGAGATCACCGGATTTCGCATTCCGCTTGAGCTATGACCATCTAGGGTACAACCAAATACTGAGCACATTATCAATCACGCAACGAGCTGTTTCGCACTTCTCATTTGTCATCTCAGTACAAGATGACAAGTTGGCGAGATCCGCGAGACGCAGTTGACGAGGGAGGCATCCTCGTTGATGGAAAGACCATCAGCAGGCATTACGGCGGGTCCCACTCTTTGCCGACCCGGAGCCGGACCCAGCGCCGTTGTTCCGGTTTATTATGGAGCATCAACCGCATTTGGACCCGCAACCTCCGTCGTACCCGGTATCCCGGCTCCCACGGCCCGGTCCGGGCATCGAGGATAAAAAAGAAAAACAAGCAATCCCAAGCAGCCCGGATACCCGCGTTCTGCGCGTCAGTCTCGGTATCTGGCCCCAATCGGGTCCCGACGATCTCCCCAATCACGATTCGACATCTCACATACCCGCCTCGCCGGGCGTCAAAACTGCACCCGTCCGGGGTTGACCCATGTATAGCTCCTCGAGTCCTCTCTAGACGAGAGCACCCAATAGACCTCCCCCCCCCAACTGGTTTGGCCCGGCGCCGACAGTACCCAAAAGGCGGCCTGCAGCCCGTGAGCCAGCGAAGCCCCGGCAATGCACCTGCCCGTCCCCGCTTGCCACATCACACCCCCGCGTGTGGTGTGCCTCTCACACCTAGGTTAGGTTAGGTAGAATTCCGGGCATTTCCTCCCCTTTGTCCACCTCTATCGCTTGTTATCTCCCTCTGTTTTCTCCCCTCTTACCCCCCTCCTCCACTCACAGTTGTCCGAGAGTTCTAGACAGTCCATCCCGATCCTCACAAGAGCCATAAGAAAGCCACCAACCCGCCAAGCCCTCCCCCTGCATCACTCTCGAAACCTCCCCACGCGGCAAGGCGCATATACACGTTTCCATCCCCGTGACTTCTCATCCAAACAACGTCCCACAGACTCCCCTCCATCAAACAACAACCAAGCGTCGGTGGCCGCGGGAAGAAAAGTCCACCGCAACCCATTCACTCCCCGCCTACATCAACTGCCGCCGCCGCCCCGACCTGCACCTACCCTCCGTTTTCCCACCATTCTGACGCGAAGATGTGTCTGTCGGACCATTCCATTTCCCCCAAAAACCAGTGGGAGGGGGGGACCTGTCTGCCTTGCTCCTCCGCCCGCCCCACCTTCGGTCGCCCGTATTGCGTAGACTGCGCCAATGCCTTCTCCCCGATTACTCCCATCCCAACGACAGACCTCTGCCGATACTCACGCAGCGTCCCGAAGCAAACTTCTGCACGCCCATGACAGTCCCAAGAGAAAATACGAAGAAAAAGCAGCCCAAGAGCGCCAAAGGGAGGAAAATCCAACGAGAGGCAGCTTGCAGGCGAACAGTAAGTCAACCCCCCCCCCCCCCCCCCTCGTCTCCTTAGTCTTTCAAGGCCCCTACGTCCCTCCCAGTTCCAACTCTCCACCATCTCCCACTCTCCCCTATCCTCCAAGGGATTTCCAGCAAAGGTCGCGGCCACTTGCATTTGAAACGTGTGGCGCTGAATGCCACCAGCCTCGCCAGAGGTTCCCTTTTCACCCCTGGCAGTGACAAATTAGCATACACTATGCCAACAGGAAGGTAGGGAGAGCGTGTCCGGCTTCAAGAGGCCAGTATACGAGTTGGAGGCAGCCGTTGATGGAGCAATAACAGGGCTTACTGTCTGGAAGTCGCGGTCGATGGGCCCACGTCAGTTGCTTTCTCGACGCGCTGAGTATGAGAAGGACGGCCCTCAAGTGGCCGACATGTCGTGGTCTCCCAGTCCGCGAGTTGCTGACGGCCTCTGACGAGGAGGGACGAAACAAAATACGAACGTGGCAGTCACATGGACAAGAAGCGAAGCGATTGTCAAGTAGTTTGATTGAAGCCATCACACGATGACATACTACAACTCAAAACCAGCCTGAGGCTGGATGCTGGGCCAAAAATGACCTCAGCCGAAGATCTACCGAAGCGGGAGTCTTCTTACAAGAAACATTTCTGTACAAGATATCAGCCGAGGTCGGTCCTCCCATGGACCAGATCCTCGTTTCTGTGGTACGCCCAAGAAAATGAATACACCCAACAAGCAAGTTGCCACAATATCCCGTGGCCCTAGATCTGTAACTCCGATTTGGCTTTTTCAAGTCCAAGTTTGTTTTTGTCCCTCACTTTTTTGTTTTTAAACACCTACACTTCCAGTGGCCCCATATGTTCCTCCTGTGAAAATGAAAAGTATCTACAGGCCTCGATCACCGGTGGGGGACACCGTGCCATTCCAGGCAGCGAGGATACTAGATGATGAAATAAAACAGTAAGATTTGTGAATGGCCCAAGTGAGGACCCTTGGTTCGAGAAAACGGCAAAAGGGAAAGAGTCGTGTCGTGAAATGTCGTAAGAGACGTGGCCTAGTCAAGGCGTGTGTGGTAAAGGAGCGACGATAGTCGGGTATCTCGAAAATAATAGGCTGAAAAGGAAAAGGATAGTGATCCCCGATGTTGAGCGACAGTCAATGTCGTCCTTGCTTCGGGTCATTAATCGTAAAGGTAACCTCTTCCGCGCCCCTGGGTTCGCGTCTGCAAGCCCAAGCTCAGAAGCTAGTTTGTGGAGAAGGACCTGCAACCGGGCTGGTTCACTTGCGAATGCCGACCTTTTCGGCCAAGGCGCGCCAGAACCGAGCGCTTTTACGCTCCTCGCTTCTGGTGCGAATCATCACGGTGTCACGCTCCATGGGTCCGACAATGTCTTCGTCGCCGCGCGCAGGGAATTTGCCCTCAGCATCAACAAGACGAGGAATCGCAGTAGGCAGGCCGTCTTCGAGGCGCCGCCATTGCATGTTGGCAAATGCATCATCATCAACCGGCCGGCGCAAAAAGCCAGCGCCACCGCTGCTCGCGCGGACTCGTCCGCGGCTACGGCTGCGAGAGACGTCCGATCGCTGGGTGCTCGTCCTGCTTGTGGCGACAATGTTTTCTATCGTCTGATCGTGGAAGGTACGCCAGCTCCTCTCTGTTTCGGCCCACTTTGCCTCAGTAAGCGCGTAAATCTTTGACGTCTCGCCATAGTTCTCGCCTGTACGGACTAGGTGCTTCGTGTAGTTGATACGAGCGGCTTCCCAGTCTGCACGCAGAAGGCGAAGGGAATCCATATCGGCTTCGACCGGCTGGTAAGGTGAGGGGGTGATGGTGAAGTTGGCATGGCCTAGACGGTCGGACCACTCGTCGCGATCTTGCACGATGGATGGGAACCCGATGGGGAGCTCTTGACCGGATTGCATGTGGCGGAAAGAAGAGACAGAGGGCCTCGTACTAAGTGCAGGCGTAGGAAGGTGAGAGAGCGACTGAGACGAGGGGAGGTCCATCGTCAAGAGCGGCGAAGGCGCTACAGTGGGAGACTGGAGTGGACTAGGGTGAGGAGCTTCAGCCGGTGGGGTGGTAAGAAGTGGGGGGAGCAGAGGCGTCGTTGCTAAAGCGCGGTCACGCTCAATGCTGACCCGTTCGTTGTTGGCCTTTTCGATGTCGATGGGGGGAGGGATATCCATGCTCTCCCTGCTTTCCCAAACGGAGGTGGCCGGGGTTGGGATCGGGGGCTCGCTGATGCTGTCCATGTGCCGTGACGGGCCAGAGAGAGAAGATGATCGACTTGACGCAGCGCGAGAGACGGAGTGGACGTTCTCGAATGACAGTCCAGTGGTAGGCGAAGCAGTCAATTGCGAGCGCTTTGTAGTAGATCTCCATCGTGACAAGTTCGGGAAGCGCGTTCCGAGGCGGGTGGCCAAGCCAGAAAAGGGCGACTCGGCGTCACTTCGCTTCCGCTCGAGGGTCGCGGTAAAATCGCTGTCGCTGGCAAAACCCAAGTCATAGTCGATATCGAAGTCGGCCGGGTAGACGCTGTGGAGTGTTTCTGAGCTCTCACGATGGAAACACGGCTCGTCGCCTAATGGGCCGGGTATTAGTAGGCAGTCAGTTGCAAACGATCAGGGTCGACTTACATAGGCAGTCGTATAGATCAAACGGCTCCGCGAGGATGGTGCTCTCTTCCGGCTCGTCCCGTTCCACGGGTTCTTCTTGCACATCGGGAAGGGGGCGTTTGGACGACTTTGTATGAGGGGTTGAAGTTGGCGAGGACGGGGTGTCGTTCAATGATGGCGGGGGGAGATCGAGAGAGGAGGTCGAGCTGGAGTAACGTAGATGTCCTCGAGTCGAGAAAGTCGGGGTGACAGGTGACGCAACGTCGGAAGAGGACGAGTTTGTTGTGCAGTAGACGTACTGGCCGTCCATATCGCCTTCTGGGAGGGCTGGTTGGTCCTCAAACTTGCGGCGCTCTTCAACGAGTTGGGGCAGCAACAATGGCTTCAGCTTGGGCGACATGGTGTCTGCCTCGGCCTGGAGCGGCGCTGCCTCAAGCAGGGAGATGGTTTCGGGAAATTTTGTAGGCGTTCAGAGTGCGTGCGAGTGATGTTGTTGGAGTACAGTGTGGCAGCGGGCGAAGAGTATGGTTGGGTGAGACGGGGCAATTATGACGGTGCTGGAATCGGAGTGGTGACGCTGTACTTCGTCGAGCGTGGTGGGGCGCGCGAAGGGTTTAAGAATGACAGCGGGAGAAAGAAGAGAAGAAAGAAAAAGTACAATGCGGTGACAGCGAGGTCAAACCAAGAGGCAACGCAGAGGTTTGTTAGTTTGCTGTCATAGCCAGGCACACTTTGGTTGAAGTGTTGGAGCTTCAAGTTGTGTAATGTTGTCGTGGGGTGGTGGTGTTGGAGTTGGGGGGGCTGGTGGTGTAAGTAGTGTTGGGGGCGTATGTACGGTGTACTTGGTTGGTTGTCGACGCCACTCGGATGGTTATTGTCAGCGGGACCTTTCAACTCCACATTCTCGTGTTCCTTTCTGCTTCCTTGCTTGTTCGAGTGTTCTCGGGGAGACAGCGGTAGCGGCGAGGTGATGTTTCGAGGTGGACGTCCGAGGCGGTGATGATTGTCGCGGGCGATGAGTCTTGCACAGCGCGGTGGGAAAAACCCTGGTATTCTCCAATGAAAAGGAGATCAAGTGCTTGGGTGAGCGGGTTGTCAAGGGCGGTAAGTCGTCCCACGTGTACGACTACGGTTCAAGATGCTTCGGCGGGAGTTGCGGTGGTTGGGCGCGAAGATGGGGGAGACAGCAGGAATTTGTATATGCGTGCGTTGTTGTTTCCTCGGGGCAGATGGCTCGTCTGCCAATCAAATCAGGCAATGACGGACCCAATGCGACACTCGAGTTGATGGCTCCGGGGTTTGATGCAGGGCGACCACGTGAGGGGATGTGATGGCGGTGTTCAGAGGTCGCGGGAGGTGCAGCAGTTTGCAATGCAACGGGGGCGATGTTGGCAACGTGAGGCGGTGGACGATATATGAGATGTTGAGGATTTAGTGTGTACCGGACAAGGGCAAACGGAAGTCGGACGACAGGCGCTAATTATTGCTGGAATATGCTTCTGGCACCGGGAGAAGAGAGACGGAGAGACAAGACGATGAAGGACGGCTTCCCAGGTGGTTTTCTTGCACAAGATGGGTGGGCGAGGAAAATGTATGGCCGAGCGGGCGTGCTGTGCAGGGTCGGTCGGCTAGGCGTACTGGCGTCAGTAGGGTCGATGTGGATGGAGGACGATGGGACGTGGGTGGGTGACGGGGCGTACAAGGGTGTGAGAATTTCCTAGTCGAGCAGAACGTCCAGGAAGGGTGGAAAGAGAGACACCGAGCGACCTCCTGCAAGGTGGTGGAAGTGGGTGACGAAAAGTGGACCTGACTGGAAAGGCGTTAGTGGCAGGGGGGGTGGAAGAAAGAAAAGAAAAAAGCAAGATAACACGATAGAAAGCCAGGGTGGTGTGCTCGAAGGGCCGGGAGCTAGGATGATGGTGTGGGGGGAAAAGGAAGGCTCGGAGGGAAAATGCAACCTATCAAATCGAGCTAAGTTTCTTCCTGTTGTGTTGTTTTTCTTTTCGGGTAGGTAGTTTGTTTCTTCTCGCTGTTTTTGCGGGGGAACTCAAAGGTAGGTTGATGGATAGATAGATGGGTGGACGGATGATGCGAAGGCACAATGGAATAAATAACTTTCTTGCTGCCAACTCCCGAATGACCAGCTAGCTCCTGGTTGTTACGATGCAGCAATATGCAGAGTGAAAGAGTGATTACGGACTTGGAGAGGAGAGCGAGCGAGGACATCAAAGTGAACCATTTGCTGAGGAAGCAGCCAGGGTTGGAAAGCTTTGAAGTAGTGTACGTACCCCCAAGTACGTATCTTGGGGACCTTCCTTGCATCGCGAGCTCTGCTCCTTCCAGTTCCCTGTCCTTGCCCGAAGAAGAGGTACAAGGGTACAAGAGGAGGTGAGGGGGGGATGAGCGGATTGGGACGAGGTGCGCGACAGGCGGCAGAGACTGACTACCTACCTACCTAGGTAGGTAGGTACACAAGGCACTTACTTACACCTACACCTACCTAGTTGTACGGATTACGAGGTCACTAACCAAGGCAACAACCAACCAACCAACCGGTGTCCTTTCTTCCTTCCTTCTTTCCTTCATTCCTTCCTTCTTCCAATCTTACCTCGTGTGAATAGATCTAGTAATGGCTTGAGGAAGGAACGTTCGAGACATCAGATCTAGGGGCGGAACACTCGACTCGTGGAAAGAATATAACAAAGAAAAATCAAGAGAAGGAACGAGGAAAGGTAATGGGAAGAAAGAACGACGAGAAGGACGGGGAAAGTCATCATCCGACGTCAACACTGACATGGGCTGCTATTTTACACTACTCGGTCGTTCAATACCTCGACGACAAAAACCCTCCTGCCATGCCTCCCACAACAACTTGTCCCCGGAACGACCATCCACGAAAACGGCTGCAACAGCGCTCTTGCTCTTGCATTGGCGCAAGCCTCGTCCGTTTCGCCTTCGTTTACCCTCTCTTTTGGTTTGTCTCTGGGCACAGCACGGCCGCATCCCCCATTCCGGCTCCGTGTGTGTCTCTCATTCCCTCCCTCTGCTGCCTCAACTTGCCGGTCCTCGCGTGTTCCAGAAGGCGAACAAGAGCGTGTTAGTCCCCTCTCTGTCGTCTCTGCCACCCTCGAAGGTTCTATACTAAGATACGTAAGCCTGTGCGATAGCTGGCGCTAAGCCAAACTCGGGTCAAGCCTCTCCCTTCTGGTCTGTGTTTGCGGCCCCGACTAAGCTCAGGCGCAGTGTGGAGGAGAGTGGAGGGGGTCTCGTCCCCCTCGTGCCGTCCTCTGTGTCGCTGGCCGTTTCCCTCTGCCTCGGCCTCTGCTTCTGGGTCGCTGGGGAGGGGTCTTTGGGCTCCCCTGCCCAAGTGAGCCCAAAGCCTTTCAGGGTTTTGCGCCGCGCATCGTGCCGGGGCCGCAATCCCATTCATGTCCGTGTCCGGCGATTTCTGGCCGTTGATGTCCAGTCCTTGTACCTACCTGTACGAAGAAGAACGGTACGTATCGCACCTCACAGATGGTGCAGAGTCTGACGAGATTCAGACCCTTCAGAGACGATAGACCCCACGATGGCCGACGAAACGACAAGCGGGCGCCCCCATTGGCATATGATGGACCTGACTCCGGCCCCGGCCCCTAATACAACACACCGGCGGAACGGAATGAGAGACAGTGGCCGCCAACTTGTCTCTCCTTCTCTCTCCCCCCTCTTCCCTCGCGTCTTCCTCGTACACTGTACCCGCGGTTGTCGGCTCAACCTTGTCCTTGGACAGAATGCGAACCCGAGCCTCCGACCAAAGGGAGGCGATTCCGAAAACCACTTGTAAAGGTGGACTGCGTCACCACGCTGGCAACAACATAGCAGAGGGCAGTACTCGCCGCTAGCCCACCAGAGCTAGTCCTCGGGAGTGGTTCATCGGGGCGGGTTGTAGTGTCGTCAGTGGATGTAGGGTTGCTTGGTTTCATGTCCATGGTCAGTACTACCACACGTACACGCTGAATGCATCCTACCGATTATAGGGACACGTACCCATCGTCGCCTTAGAGTCTTCGAAAGCACCGCATCACGGCGCTCGAAAGTGTACCTACTGATATCCGATCCTGTGGTACTATACCTAGTATCGCCCAGCACTCGGCATGATATCAACATGCAACCTGGTAAGGGCGTGATGCAGTTAGTAATAGGGGCTCCAACATCCTGACGATACCCAGTAAAATATTCCGTCAACTCTCATATTGGCCACGCGGCAGCCATCCGGCAGTCGATTTCGCGTGACATTTCGCCCTCTTCCGCCTCTATGCAAACGGCACGGCTGGTGCCAGCCGCTGGAGACAGAACAGGGAGCGGTGGCTAGCTTGCCTTCTTTCCCCATCTTCCACGCGCCAGATGACTGGTTGGTCTGTTTGTCTCGCTGGGTAGAAGCGGGAGCCTCGACGATGGATGGACACGTCCGCTTTGCCTGAGGTACACCGACAAGCCCAACCCCCCGTTCCGGGTCCTCTCCCCCAATATCTCCATCTTGTCTCCTCCGTTCCCCTCTCTTTCCTCGCTCTTTCGGGCATCTCTCGCTGTCAATAGTCCTCCTCCTCCTCTCTGTACCCACCCGTCACACGTTGACGTCGTGGGCTTCTCCTCCTCCTCCTGGTCCTTCTTCTCCTTCTTCTCCTCCTTGGTCTTGGTTCGCCATCGTTTGTGCGACCCTGCGTTTGGCACTGTTTCTGTGCTCCGTGGGCGTTAACCCCAAATTCGTTTCGTTTTCACCTGCGCAGCCAGGGATTACAGCTCGGTCTTTCCCCTCTCCCTTACCTGGCCGACCAGGGTACCAGGCCCAGATCAACTGCTTTGACCGCAGCGACAGTTCTGGTCAAGCGTCCTTACCCTCCCTTGTGTTTTCCCTGCCCCATCCCTGCACGGATTGCGATTCCGTAGGCCGAAATAGGGTACCCGGGAGACGCTTACCACTTTTGCCAGCCACTGACAACAACAACACCAACAACAATAACAGAACCCGACAACGGGGCTCCAGCAGCAGCTTTGGCCGATGCAATGCACCTTGGGCCACGGCCGAGGAGCAATACGTACCGCTCGGCACATTTTGCTGGGCTATCGCAGTGTTCTGGGCCCTTTCCCTCTCCACTCTCATGGAGCCCGCTCAGCGCCGGCTCCAAGGGCCTGGTGGACATGACAAACAGCTGGTGATGATGGCCTTGGGCGGTATGCCGGCCGATCTGTACAACAGGGTATACACGCAGATGCCTTTAATTTTGCACAATGATACAGACCTTAGGAATATTGCCGTGCATCGGTGCTGACAAGCCCTTCGGCAAGGTGCCGCTCTGCTCCCCGACATTTTGCAGAGAGGCTGAGACCTGTCTGTCAGTGAACCCAAGACCAAGCGAACCGGTTCGCCTTGGCCTGGGTTTCCATGCAATAGGAACTGAGCACAGGTCAAACTCAATGCCATGCCATCCGACAAATCAGACAAACAAGGGACGACATGGAACGGCTGTATCTGTACCTAGGTGCATCCAAATTGACTTCCTCCTCAGCACCCTACTGCTACACTGCAACCCCCTCAGCTGGGTTTGATCTGCTCGGTCATTGAACGGCGGCGCATCACAGCTTCTCGGTCGCTTGTCCCCATCGCCTGGTTAGGATGTGCAGAGTTCACCTCGGTTTGCTTCCCCGGCCAGTAGGAAGCGGTTACGTACGACTCGCCAGAGAGACGCTCCACACACGAGACCGGCCAAGGACTCAAGCAACTAGCTCAGTCTCACACACACACCATGACACGGCAATTGCCAGATGCGGAGACAAAATGCAGCACAAAGACAATGGGAATGATAAGAGCTCGCCGGCGCTCTCCAGGACACGAGTAGGATGGATAACACCAAAACCTCCCCCTGCCTCCAGTTTGGCTGCAACTGCTGCAGCAGCATTAGCAAGGTCGACGAAGTTTCATGCCGTCCCCCCATGGATGCCGGCCATCTCTATCACCACGCTACTAGGCATCCTATCCTCCGACATGGCCGGCTTTTGCAGTTCACGGATACATTTGGGCGTTACCCTGGCGGGGGAGGAAAAGAAAGAGCTGGTTCTACAGAGACCGACAATGAAGCCCTGTCGGCTGGAATTGGTGTTTGTTCTTTCTCCCTACTCCGCACTGCAAGCAGCACAGCAAAGCTTCCGAGCATCCGAGCCAACAGCCCCTCAGTCCCCTTCCGGAATCTGAGTTCGAGGTCGAGTTTCCCAGCCGCCTTTTGTGGCTTTCGCTGGCTCTATTGACACTGCTGGTGGGTGCGTGGTGTTCCAGGTTAACGGGCGACGCAACGCTGTGGCGTGGGGAACAGGGAGAGGTCGTTTGCTCCTTCCCGACAGGGCATGGTGGGCTGGTCCCAGTGAACGGGGCGCTGCATGGAAAGAAATAGAACGACACGGTGAGTTTGGACACGGTGATTTTTATCGACAGGGTAGGTGGGCAACGGCCGACAAGTGACGTCTGGGTCGGTGAAGCATGTTGAAGATAACGGCGGCGCGCGCTGTTGATACATTCTTTTGTTCCTGGAGACTCGCATGGAGGTGAATTGGAGGCGACTTGAACTGTATCTCAGCTCAATCGTTGAATGCCCATCCCTCCCCCCCCTTTTTCTTTTTTTTCTTTTTCTTTTTTTCTCTCTCAAGAAGCCTGGACCATTCAGTCCGGGGGAGTTTACGATTATGGAGATGATCAGCAGACGGAACTGAGCAATCATCAGGGGATCTCGATGAGCTGCCAGGGAGTCGCCGTCATAGGGGCTCGTCAGGCTACGCATATCATGACGACTGTCAAGCCACTTCAGCAAGACCAGGCTCAAGGTGAACCCGGTCAGCGGTCGGCGGTGGCCTGGGACCTTACGGGTATGTCGCGGTCAAGTTCTCGGCCATCCATTGCAACCTCACAAGCTCTCAGCGCATCTCCGTCCCTGGTCCCTCACCGTGCCCAGGAAGGGGAAGGTCATAGCAGCGGCCGTCCCTCCATTTGTGGTGTGCTTTGCTGCGAAACTGTTTGCACCAGCAGGGTGGTGGTGTGGCCGGCAGGGTGGTGTGGGGACGGATCGGTGCACAAGCACAACAAACAGTCTCAGATGTACGGATACCACCCATCTATGTTCTGTTTGTTTTGTCGTCCGTATTGGTTGTCATGGCAGAGCAATCAATTGTAAACCCACGACAAACAGACGCATCCGCAGTTCAGTTGGCCATGTGGTCTACCGTCACCACCACCGCTTGATTGTTCAAACGGTCGGGGTTAAGGGGGGTTGGTATCCTTCCGAGTCACCTGCTATTATCCTGTTGGATAAGCCCACCCAAACTTGGACGAGATATGGATGCCCTGGACGGGACGAGGCTTGCCGACTTGCGTCATTCCGAGCCCGCATCCTCATCAACCGCCAAGTTTACCATCGCCCCCCCCCCGGTCGTCGCCCCTGGCTGCATCCTCGGGCTTTCAGTCTTCCCGGCTGGATGTGTGCTTGCTTGTAGCTTCAAAGATTTTTTTCTCCGCCTATCGGTCCCACCCCATGCTCCAGATGCAGGAGCAGCATCCTTCTGACGTCTATCTAGACTAGACTAGGTACGCTACATTCGTACAGCTTCGATGCAGTACAATGACAGGTGATTTGGAGGGAAAAGAAACGGTTGCGAGGAGTGTCAAACTAGGCTATCGCAAACGCCCCCTGCGTTGACTTGGTCGCGCGCTTCAGAGTCCATCAAAACACAGAGCTTTCACCCCTCCCCCCACCCCCTCCCCCCATTGTCGAGTCCCTCTGATTCCGTGTCTGTCGGCGGCGCTCCCTGCCAAGCTTGACTCGCCTGAATATTCCATCGCGCGTCGTCGTGTCTTTCCACCACGTAGACCCTGCCTGCCTGCCTGCCTGCCTGCATCGCCACCGAGGAGTTCGGCAGCGTCGGATATTCGTCAATAGCACCGCCGACGAGACGCCAACGCCCATCTCCTCTGGCAACACAGCTGCGAGCCATGCATGACCCTACTACTGACTTGTGCGCTACGTGTACGTATCCGTCCTGTCCCGCAATCCCTCGACTGCGCCGCGGCCCAGTTCGTACTGGCTAGCATACGGACGGGTAAGACCATGCAGTGTGTCGCCCTCCAATGCATGGAATAACCATGTTTCTCCCATCTCCTAGGACCGAACCAAGGTCACTCCCTCCATCGTCGACCGTAGGGTCGGGGGGGAGGGCCAACTTTGACCTCGCCGATCCCTTCCTGTTCCTGAAAACGTTGTTTCGTTGATGGGAGATGCTGTCAAAAAGGTTGCTTGAGCCTCCGCGGATATTGTGGGTTAGAGTTGCTCTGCGCCGCCGAGCTTACCATTGTGGTGGCATCATCGTCGCATCCAATCCTTTTTTTTTTTCCTTCCTTTTTTTTTCCCCTTTTTGCGCCACGGTCACAGACGAACAACGACCTCGGATTTAGTTGGGATAACTCTTGCGCGCCAATGGCTCCTATCTCCACGCGGCTTAATAGCCGTGGACCGCTCACTTGTCCCGACTAGCGCGAACCTGCCGTCCTCATATGTTGCAGCCGGCGGCTCGACCTGTCGGCATATTGTCACCGTTGAGCTAGGGACGTTATATGTACACCAGGCTCTCAGGAAAGGGAAAAAAAACCTCGCGCGGCGGCGGCGGCATGATCAGGGATTGCAATGGGAGAGAGAGTTCAAGTCCATGTCAGAGGCCCCTCCATTCTATCCAGCTTGTAGGGAGCTTTTTGCCAAAGACAATATTCACTTTACACCCCCCCTCGCTCCCCAGATTTCGGGTCACGCCAACATTCCCTTGTGTTATCCTCGAAAGATGACGCCGCATCTGGGCATCGACCCGGCCATGCCGCTTCCTTGTTTTTCTGGCCCTCCCACAAAGACTGTGGAGTGTGGGGTAAGAGTTTTAGCCAAGCATCTCAAGGGGGATAAAAATAAAAAATAAAAAATAAAAAAAGGCTCTCGTTCTGTTGACTCATCTTCGGTGCATCCGCTCTTGTCCACGCCGGCCTTCCAAGAGCCCAGTATAGCGTGGCGCAAAACGGGGCGTCGAGAAAGCCGCCATTTTGGCCTTCATTTCTGCATTTGTGCCGGGCCAACCGTGACTACGGTGCTTTTTTTCCTACTTTCGTGGACGATTTTTCTCTTCCCCCCCCCCCCCCCCCCCAACAATGACGGCGTTGCTTCTTTCCCTTCACCCACACGTGGCCGCAACGGTCCTACTACTGCATGCCATCTTGGATAACTCTCCACTTACAAATTTTTTATTTTTTTTTCTGCTTAGTAGGTGGCCGGGAAGGGGGGCGGCCACATATCTCTAGACCGCATGTCTTGGCATCATTGCTTTAGAACAAAAAAAAAACCCGTTGCCGACAGGCGCGGCATTCGACTGTCCAGGCGTAAGCTGCAAGAGCGTGCTTCCCCCCTCCCCATCACCGGCCGGCCGGCCGGCAATCTTCTTGCTTAGTTAGACACACGCCAAGTATGCATCTACCAAGCTGTTTCGGGATGCTCACGCCGAAGAGAGAAAGAAAAAAAAAAGGCCCAACTTCCGGAAGAGGGTTTCCTTCTGAGTTCTGCGTCGGCATCGTTGCATATCGAATACCGTTGTCTCTCTATCAAACCATATCAGCCGCGGACCGGCCGGCCGGCCGGAAGTCTGGCGTGCGGGGTCGGAGAAGGGATATGAATCCTGCTTTTATTTTTATTTTTTTATTTTTATTTTGCTTTTGCTTTGATGTGATGGGACAGACAGGCATGCTGACATGCAGCTGGAGATTCGACAATGGCCCAATTTTGTTCATTCGCCGTGCCTCGAGGGCCGGGAAACTGGCTAGCCATCAGTTGGAGTAGCCGGGAGCACAGCCCCCGTGGGAGGAAGGGGAGGGTATCAAGGGCGCGTTCAACAAACCCTCCCCCCACCTCTTGAATCTGACGGCATCGAGTGTCGACTGATCTGGTGAGATGTGATCATAGCATGATCACCGTCCAACATGGATGGGGCTCTCTCCTCACATTTGCGGATCTCCCGCTCCACCCCTATGAGCTTTTTTTCGTTTTGGTCGGGGGTTTTTTTTCTCTTTCACTTCGCTGGTCTTTTCGCCCTGTCTCTGTGCCCGGTGTCGGTTTCTTTGGGTAGCCATCATCCTGACAACATTTGCCGCGGTCCAAGTACCAGGCAATCAGCGCACTAGGCCTAAGAACGACCGTCGTGACCCCAACAGCCAGTCCAGACTGCTGTGCCGATCTGTGTCCTTGACACTTAAGCGCTCCGCCAGTGTCGAACCCGACGTCGTGCGTACATGGCTCCAGAGGCCGACCGAGGCGGCTAGGAAGGGGGGGAGGGGGAGGGCTGCTCGACGACCCCCACGGAGTCTCTTCGCAGCGAAGCGAGGGCCGTTGAAGTTCGTGGCTGACGATGGTATGCAACGTCAAACATTTTTTTATTTTTTTCCCTTTCCTTTCTCGCTTGTTGAGGTTCACTGAAAACTTCCCTACCATTTCTGCAAATCCCATCGGTTCCTCCCTCCCCCCCTTCCCTTCCCCGTGCCGAAGAGGTGTTTCCCCTCCCGCAGAAAAAAAAAAAATGTCTTGCGTCCCTGCATTAGTCGTGCCCTGATGGAGGGCCGTCGCCGCCGTCCATTCGCCCAAGGGCCCAGCGTGCGGGTGCAGATAGGGACGGAAGCGAGGGGCGGCCGGGCATGATGCGTGACCATCCCGGTGCGTGGCGGCGGCGGCGGCGGCGGCGGCGCGCCATAGGGCTCCGGTGGAAGCCCATTTTTTTGCCTATTCTGTCCATGTTGGGAAGCCTCATGGCGTCAGCGCTCCTCGGTTCTCAACCCTGGGCAGCGTGGGTTGCATCGAGGGCCCCGTCCATACATAGACCTCCACCGGGGTTCCAAATGTTAGCGCAGTGAGTTGACCCGGCAAATCAGAAAGATTGCTTTCTTTGAGGTCGTGGAGGGAGGATAACATTAGGCAGTCGCTTAAGCTCTCAGCTGCATCTCTAGATTGACGCTATCAAGACATAAAAGTCCTTACTTTTACTGGATATATCTAGTAGGACCAGAGTACCGGTATACCTATTTTTACTATATGTGTACGTAGGGCTTGTAGCAAGCTAACACTCATAACCCTGACGGAATGTACATGCATACATGTATAGCCGAATCCATAAATACATGCCGTGTACATGGTACTATGTATGGTGTCAGCAAAGCCGGTGGCGCTGTGTTGCTCGCGGGTACGGAGAGCGCGCCGCATGTGAAGTTGACCAAGCACAGACGGACGGCCCCCATTACGCGCCCTCCATCCATGTGCTTGCCGCCGAGAGGGGGGAGGGGGGGAGGGGGACGGCGGAGAAAATCCCCTGCCGGGATTCTCTGTGGCCGAACGGGGGGGGGGGGGGGGGGGGACAAGGGCATCCTGCGCCGGGGTGGAAACATTTTAGGCCTCTGCATACGGAAACCTGGACGACCGGCGTCTTTTTCGACCGGGCTGGACTTCGGTGGCTTACGGGAGAACGGGACAGAGTTGAACGGAGAAAATTTTCTTCAATTTTGCGGCATTTGATACTTACTCAGATCGTGATCCGTTGGAGGGGTAAGGAAAAAGAAAAGAAGAAGGGGAAAAGGCCGTCCATGCATTTGTCGTGCTCCTTCGGGCCCGTCACTGTCTGGCCGCATTACGACGCTTGGTAATCCGGCTATCGGGTCACAACGGAGGCCATGTTAGTTTTTAGTTTTTTTTTTTTTTGGTTTTTTTTTTTGGGGGGGGGGGGGGGGGGGGGGGGGGGGGGGGTTTCCTCATATTTTTCTCCAAGATACAATAGTAATAAATAAATAAAAATCATTCTCCTGTCCCGACAGCCATCACTTGCTTCTATCTTTGGAGTGAGGGCGGCTCGAGGACGGCACCGGTGGCTTGGAGATCGCGGCGTAGCCCCGACGCAAGCCTTTGCCGTCGCGATGGCAGGGCTGCTGTGTCTTCCGCAGACTTCCTGAAAGCGGTAAGGTTTCCTTGGCCGGCACCTGGATGAAGGCCCGGTGTCGCGTGATATTGACGCCCTTCTCGCTCCCGTTGGGGATTCTGGCGATCACGGCCGAGGGGTGTGGTATTCCCCCGCCTGAACTCTGGGAATTCTCTTGTCACCAGCCTGGCCCGCCCTGATGCCGGCAGATACGAGAGAGCGAAAGAGGTTGATGGGATGGCGTGCCGACGATCTTCCACGGGCGGGCGCCAATCCTGCGCCTCTCCCGTTGAATGGGACGGGTCTGGTTCGTCTTGGACTTGGCTGGCCTCTCGTCTGCCCCCCCCCCCCCCCCCCCCCCCCCCTCGGGAATACAAAATCAGACGAACTGGTCGAGGAGGCTCGGACTTCTGTTTCTCTAGGGCCGCTTTGGGCTGCCATGCTCCCATGGCTGTTTCGCCTGCAGTTCGGGCTCGGTCTTCATGGTGCGGCATGGGGGGGAGAAGCCGCCGTCGCACGATGTCTCTCCCACTCCCCCCTAAATGAGGTGCGGGATAATAGACCGGGCGCCAACGTTGTGTCACGATGACTTGGTATTCATGGTGCACGTCAGATCCAAATCTGGCAAAAGCGGGCTACAAACATGGTCACCTAAACAACAACAGAACTCTGGGTGGGATCACTCGAGCAAGACATGTGCCGTTCCTGGCATCTCGCGCTCAGGGGGGGGGGAGAGGGGGGAGAGGGGATCGTTTGGCGCCCTCGGTGGTTGGGGATGGCGGGAAGAGTTCGATCGCCCGAGAGAATCTCACTCTCATTTCCGAAAATGTAACCACAGTGAAAGCCTCGTCCTCAACCCCATCTCCCGACTCGGACTGTTACACGGCAGCCTAAGAAGCTCAACGTTTGAACGGCGAAAAAGCATGTGCCAGCCAGCCCTTCCTTGCCTGCCCGCGAGATGCATGAGCGGCCGACCAATCAGGGCGGCGACCGTTGGATTGGAGGAACCGGCGCGAGCGAGCGAGCCAGAGAGACGGACTTACACGGAAGATACGGAGCCAACCAAGGCCTGGCTTTACACTGCGTCGTCAAACCATTCCCTCGTGGCAGCTTGGACCTTGCTTTCCTTCTTAGTAGAAACTTCTTCCTTTTTTTTTTTCTTATTTTTTTCTTTTTTTCTTCTTTTTTTTTTCCCTACTCGTTTTCTTCGGGCGCCAGGGCCTTCGGACTTGCAGGGCAAATGCGCGCGCGCGCGTCCAAGGGAATGATGCTAAGGCTTTTGCGTCCCTTGCTGCAATACCTATCCATTCGAATCCCTGGGTCGATCACTGCGAGAATCTCGGGGTAAACCGGGGCGCGCGCACTGATGGGAGGATGGAGATGTCGTTTCCCCTCAACTATATGCGATGCGCGCCGGGCTCTCTCCCACCTGTTTGTTCAGGAAATCTTTTTCTTTTCTTTTCTTTTCTGCAAATCTGGGGGAAAGTCCAGATTGAGTTAAGGTCGAGGCCAGTTTCGGTCACAAAGTCTGGGTCCCGAAGACCGCTCAACAGAGAAGGCGATTGTGCGCGATGACGGGACGGATGCTTCTCAACCCAAGCAGGGCGCCATTAGGCAGACTTTTAGATGTGGATTAGGCGTCACCATTTCCCGCGCAATGTAGTCACATGGGGGAGACGGGGAGGACCTATACCAAACGTCCCTTTTCGTCAGGCCACGCGGACGGCCGGCGCACAGCTTGCCGCCCAACAACGGTGGTCTCTGTCTCTGTCTCTGTCTCTGTCTCTCTGTCTCTCTGTCTCTCTGTCTCTCTGTCTCTCTGTCTCTCTTCTGGACAAGGCTGCCGCGCCCATTGGGCCACGTGTGTGACCGGCAGGCAATGGCCAGGCACGGGAGGTCGATCTCACGTCGAGTTGGCCCGTCCGTCCATTGTCAACTGCAGGGCCTCTTTGGGGGAGAGAAGAGGGGGTGCACGGTCGGACCCTGCGATTCTTGAGCCTTGACGGCACGATGCGCCCTGTCTTACTCTCATATAAAGGTGGGGAGTGGGAGGAAAGGAACGGAAAGCACATCTGGCCGTGTATGTAATCCTCACTCATGAGGGGGGGGTGTACGTGTGAGTGTATAAGAGGCGCTCGGTCAGCATCGTGGCCCCCGCGGTTCGCGGAGGTGGGATTCCGGGAGAAGACGGGCTTGTTTCACCCCTTAGAGGAAGTCTGTAGGTCCGCTCCTTGACCACCGCTAACGGACGTAGTCATTAACCCCCTCCCCTAGGTGAACCCCTTCACGATCTGGACTGTGTGGCTGTCTAATCTTACACGGGATTTTACGACGGTCGAATCCTTGAGGGTTTGATAATTTTTGTTTTCTCTCCTCATGTTTCTTGCAACGCGCGGCGCGTAAGAGCTTTGCAACCGTCGTTATTCGCGATATGCTAAGAGATGAAAGGGTCTAGACGCGGGTGAAGGTGACGAGGTTGGAAAACTGGCGGAGCATTCAGACTGCCTCTTTCCCCCCCCCCCCCCCCCTTGTCCCCCTCTCGTGTGGCGTTACCTCGACCGCAGATCACCGCGCGGGTGGCCGCGGGAGGGAGGGCTGAAGCGCGTTCGGTGGTGCCCGGGAAGTGCGGGAAGCAGATGGCGGGCGCGAGGGTTGGGGGGCTACGGGTGGTGACGGCGATGACGGTGATGATGATGTTGAGCCTGGCCTTTCACATGTCATTTGGCCAATCGTTCCAGGCCAGTCCGTTCAGCTTCATCTGCATGTCATCGCGGCCAACGCGTTCGAGAGTCTTCTTCTCGCGGTTGCTCATGGCCCAAGCAGCCAAGCTCGGGGGAACTCACGACAAAGCCCTTGAGTCCGTCCCGCTGGGACGGACGTCTGTCGCCGGCGGGGACGCAGGCTGCAGGTGCCGCGGGCGGCGGGCGGCGTCAAAGGTCCATGTGTCTTTTTTTGGGGGGGCGAGGGTGCGTTTGCGTGTGTGCGAGTATATCGTCGCCGGAAGGAGGGTCTAGACTGGCCGTCTGTTTCTTTGTTTGCGCGAGCGCAAGCGCGACGCGAGCGTCAGACTTCCCCAGTCAACAACGGTGAGGCGTCCAGAGCGGGAGCGATGCCCGACATCATAAGGCAAGGCGTAGGGTCCAGACCCCCGGGCCAAGCGGGAGGATTTGGAGAGAGAGAGAGACGGTTTTCCGAGGTCGCCGGGACGTTGATGACGCCGTCACTGGTGGGTAGTGCTGAGGTTGAAAGGCTGATGTGAGGGAAAGGGAGTCAAGCGGTTCCCGAGCGGGTGACGCAGTTGCGGCGCCTCGATGTGTCTTCCTGAGAAGCCCCGGCGGGCTGATGCCCTTGGCGAGGATGGAGAGCAAGGACTCCCTCTGTCATAGCCTGTGAGAGGTGGTTTACCGCGTACCCTCGGATCGATTGACGCAAGAGGCTTTCCGAGTTTGGGTTTCCCACCCCCGAGGCTTGTTGTCTTCTTTTTGTTGATGTTTGGTTCATGCTACGAGGGGCAACTCTCGGGGTGGTGAGAGGTCAAAGGGTGCATGGCTGACTCTGGGCTGTGGCGAGAGAGAGCGTCTTTAGCTTGCGGTATAGCCAACAACGCTGCTCTATCGAACGCCACGTGACACCACCTGCTCGATGGATTGTGAACAATGATGGCTGGCATCAAGTGAAAGGGGGCTCTGCTGTCCGGAGTACATGAGGCTGAATATGGCTAGGGTAGTGTAAGATGATTTCTGTTGTCAGGCAGCAGTTGCGGCGCTATTCGACGACGTCAATGTCCGCATTGAGCGGCGTCGCGTATGGAATCAAGAGTTTCACAGACTTTCACGGCGACCTTGATGCAGTTTCCCCAGACATGACTCACGATTTTGCGGCACAGCAGCAACTTTGTCGATGAGAGCGACGACGAGATAAGAGGAAGTCTACAGAATACCTAGTCGTCGTCCCCCAAGACCTCGAGAACACGTTCTGCGCCACCGTCTCCCTTGACTTACTCTCCCTTGACTAAGCTCAGCTGCAAAGATGGCACCCCGCGGACGCCCCAGGGGTTGTCCCCACGACTCCATCCTCGTCGAAGCTTCCGAGTACGGCCGCAGGAAAGCCGGCTTCGTCCGTGTTCCGGCCGGGAAACGCATCGCAGCGATGGAGCCGTCCGTCAGGGCCGCCGCCAACCCCGCAACAACCGACGCCGTCGACTCCGCGCCGGACCCCTCCACGTTCCCGGGCCCGCTCGTTCTCCCCGACGACGACCTCGCGCTAGACCCGCGAAGCGCGCCGCAGAGCGCGCCGTCGTGGGCGAAGGGGCGCTGGCGGAGCCCGATCAAGCCCGAGAGGAAAGCGCTGTACGTCGCCGACGTCCCCGCCATCGGCGAGGACGCGGCGTTCATGGCGGCGTGGGCCTCGCCCGATCTCTCCGAGGCGAAGACGCCGCCCGTCGCGGCGGACGGGCTGGAGCACCCCGAGGTGGGGCACCTGAGGGGGTACCTTACCGCGTTCTACCACCCACTACCTGTGAAGCGTCTCCCGGCGGCGCTGCGGTTCGTCAAGTGGGAGAATGACGGGGAGCGATTACGCGCAAGCAGGAGGCCAAAGGGAATCGCGATGGTCGGCCTGGAAACAGGGGATGGGTCCGTGGTAGGGATCCGAACGAGGCCGTCGCCGGATGGCCTGGCGCGGATGCAGCTCAATTTGTGCGACCTGCTCGACGCGCTGGCGGCAGTGCTGCCGGCGGACGCGTACGCCGCTTGCATGGTCGTCGCGCAGGACCTGTACGAGGACGACGACGACGACGACTTCTGCTGCGGGCGGGCGTTTGGCGGGAGCCGGATCTGCGTGGTTTCGGCGTTCCGGTACCGGCCGCTGCTGGACGAGGCCCAGGGGCTGGAGAGGGAGCACATGTGGCCGGCGTCGCACTGCGAGAGGTTCGTGGTTGAAGCGGTGGAGTGGTGGGAGGAGCAGGACGCCGCCGAGGGGGATGAGGGCGAAAGGGCTTCGGAAGCCGAGACGGACAAGCGGGCGAAGATGAGGGGCAAGGGTGGTGGTGACGATGATGATGGGGAGATCACGATCGATCTGAAGCAGGTGAAGGGCACGGCGATGGGTGCCGCCATCAAGGCGTCGAGGGCCGTCCTGGTCCCGAGGTCGACCCCGAAGCGCTCCCGGGACGAGGACCTGAAGGGACTGTGGTTCGCCCGGGTCGCGAGGACGGCGGCGTACGAAATCGGTCACTGCCTCGGGATGGACCACTGCGTGTACTACGCGTGCGTCATGCAAGGCACCGGCGGACTGGGGAAGGACGCGCGGCAGCCGCCATATCTCTGCCCCGTGTGCGAGGCCAAGGTGATCTGGGGCCTTGGCGAGATGGGTGTCGTCGAGGGCTGCCGGGCCGGGACGTGGCGGGAGGGCAGGCGGAGGGCGGTGGAGCGGGACAGGATGGAGGCCATGAGAGGGTTCTGCGAGCTGCGGAAGGGGGTGGGCATGTTTGCCGGGTACGCGGGCTGGTTAGACGCGAGGTTGAAGGGGGAGTTTGGACCCCGGGAGGCGGAGGTGATTGGCTTGACGGAGTGAGACGGGGTTGTGTGGAATCACATCACATCTGCTTACGATGCTGTCACCCTAGGCTTCTCGTTACTTTGACAGTCGAAATAACCAAGAAGACCCAGTCCGCCATGCGAAGATGGGGAAACCAGGCTTTCTACAAACATCCTTCTTGGTTGTGCCCTTCACACAGGTAGCGCGTCACGATGGCCACTAGTTCGAGTCAGGGATACCAGGATCAAGAGTGGGGGAGTAGCTCACGATTCTTGGGGTTTAGAGGGGAGATTTAGGAAGCTTTCTCCTGGGACTAGGCATCAACAGCTCCCGGTCCCAGGATTCAGGGCCGATAGAGTTGAAACATTTGATGATTGATAGTGTCTACAAATGCCTTCTTATCAGTTCCGAAGTAGTAGCTGCATAGTTGTTTCTGATTTGTCCCTTAGAATCGCTCCTCTGCTAGCATCTAAGAAGAAAGTCACGTATGAAAGGCTAAGGAGTCGAGCAACCATAGATGCTATAAGCTACGGCAGAGAAGGAGCATATATAACTATGGAATGATTGATGGACACTCCTCAAAGTGTGCAAACATGCCAAACGACTCCAGACCTCCTTTACTTCTAAAACGTCCACCCGTGAAAATGATGCTCCATGCGGCTCGAGTATTAAGAAGCATACCCTTCCAGAGCCTTTTATCCTGGATATCTGCGGTGTATTCCCAAGCAGGAGAAATCTAAACTTATTTGAAACACAAAACTCCATAAATCTTGTTACAAATTTGGGCCACTTGTGCAAATAAATGACGGCCTTTGAACCAGGAGGTAGCCAATTGGGGAGAGCGGGTTTCCTCCCGACGACTCGGGGGAACTGGACGAGGGTCTTTCAAATGTGATGGCCGCACAGGTGGTTTCACCCTACTGAGTATCCGAAAATTTGATGGCGCTGTCGTAAAATGTATAGTCACAGAATCTAGACCCAGCATGCACACATTTATTGAGATGGCACACACTGGTAGGTGGGCTATCTCTAGAGGAGTAATGTATAGCACTTTCAAGTCTAACCGGGTATCGTCGTTCAGTCTGAGACCGCTAATGGTTCCTTGAGGCCGGGGGTGGCGCTGTAGGTCGGGTGACTGGGCGATGAATTCGACTTGTCCCCTCAATCCAGCCCATGACCATGAAGGGAACCCTAGTCGTCTTGTAGTAGGTATTGGTCGACATTCCTGTACATGTATCTAAAGAAGGCTATTGAGAAGAGACTCGGAAGCTGGCCTCACGGTCTTGAGTGACAGGAACGGCACTCCCTGTAGCAGGAAGACAGGGATCTTATAGCTTTCCAAATGCGCAATGATACCCATTAAGGCAGCAAGGCTCTCAGGGCATCATCTTCGTGAGATATGTTTCGAATTAGAAAGTCTTTCGCAGTTTTGTAGAATCTAATGAAAGCATAAGTAGGTGTTCTTATACAGGAATCGTTGTGTAATATACCCTGCAAGAAAAGACCCGAGTCGAAGAAGGAGTAAAGGTTCCCCTGCTTGCAGTGGAGGGCGTTAGAATCCCATGCCATAGACTCCCTAACCTGAATGGAACGGCTTTCAAAATAGACCTCGGAGTCGGTGAAGAAAAGGAGACGTCGAGAAAGCAAAGCTTCTTGATGCGATGAATCTTCTTCTTCTTTTTATTGTAGTGTCCACTCAACATTTTCCTTATTGTAAAGGATTCTTGAACTCTCAAATGGTCTCACCTACCAATGATAAAGTAGGCAGCTATATTCTCCAACGCTCCACGCTCGAATCAGGACTTAACTCGTGCCAGTTACCCTCTGCATTTACCATCGGTAATGGCCACTGCCTGAGCAGGCAGTGAGTGATTGCAAACATACAGTCGCCCTGTCAGGTCAGCCGATCATATTGCGGCCAGTCTTGCAGGACGAACTTGGAAGTGTGCTCTGCTTAATCTTTTCTAATGATTGGTTGTCCTAATGCAATATTGGTATTTTCCACTTGGCTGCAGAGGAAAGTTGATGGGGTGTGTACATAACCATTGTGGCGGTAGACGTCAACTTCCTGCTTCCTATTCTACAGAATTTCTTAGCATTGAAAGCCAGTCTAGTTTGTTCTAGACCCAGTGCCCCTACCCAGAACCCCAAACCCCCCAAGCCCGAATCTCAGATGAGAAGAGCCTCCACCAAGCCCTTTCGGATCCGAAGAATAGCACATCTTTCCCTGAGCCCCAGGAACAGGCCAACCCTTATCAGTTAAGCAAGATATGAATCAGGGTTGCGTTGTGAGAATTAATCGTGTGCAAAGCAGCTTTCAGGGAACGGGTGCACTTTCCATCTAATTTCTGGAAATATAACACATCTGCATGCGGTGTAAATGCTAAATTCCAGGATCATCTACGAAGTTGGGAACAACTCCATTTATAGTCCTCAAATGATAGGAATTATTGTGCTTTCCTAGCATCATATAAGCGCCAAGGAAGCTTGTTCAACTCACACTGGTATCTGAATCCAGGAACTGGCACTTGAATTCTGAGGTTGGGTAAAGCTTATTCTCTAAATCCCGAATTTACGTCTCGTAGAATTTAAACGCCCACTCTAGGCTCAAGTCCGTCATCACCCAATGGAACGAAGAAAAGCAACAACTTGGGGAGTTGTAAGGAGAGATGAACGAACTTAATAACAAAGTGTAGTGCCACCTCGTATATAAGTCAGTGTTTCCTACGTGCCGAGTCTCATAGGTCAACGCCCATTGTAGAGAACAGTAGATAGACTATAACGCTGACGTCAACGAGTCTTAGCCAACACATGACTTTTCACCATACAAGGGTGATTGATCACCCGCCGGGTGAATGCGGCGTTGTACCAATAACCCGGATGAGCAAGGACAAGACAAACTAAGAAGACATGATCGTTGTTAACAGAAACCAGCATGCGCATCCCCATATGGCGGGCGGGCTGCGCGAGGTCCTGCCATGGAAGGCTAACTTAATCCGTCTTCCGATCGGTCAAGGTGCCACTCATCCGGCTACCCTTCCGCGCCCCATTTCTTAGGCGATGCTGGAATTCGCCCAAGACATTCCCCGAAACCAAAATGCCGTGACCGGAAACGACTTAACGAGTGCGCCTCGAATTTTTTTTGCCTCCTCAGTCCATCGGGATACTGTGCATAGAACGCCTCTGGCTGGAATGCGTGCCAGTTGTCCGGGTGTCGTGGGAAACCCTCAAAACCAGAGATGCCTTTCCTCCTTGTACTACCACATCCCCCGAGCCCCCAAAGTCTATCGATCCCTTTTGAGAAACGCGGTATCCTGTCACACACGTCAAAACTAATCGCGCAATCAATTCAGCGGGGGCCGCAGAGCTTCGGTCCCAGCCGGTAACCACATACCAAAAACCATTTGGTCCAGACGGACCGTCGTCATGCGTTTGAACTGCCCGTCCCTCCTCCTGTTGACGCTCTGCACAACGGCGGCGACGACGCTCGCCCAAAGGCTCTTGCTCCCCGACACACCCGGTATCGATTTGAAAGACAATCCCGATTGTGCTGTAAGAAGACCGGCCCCCCTCGGCGACCGACGAGTGACCGACGAGCTCACCACTGACGCGCGACCAAGCTGCCTTGCCTCTTGGCAGGCCTCAATCAAACGAACTGCCCCACGGCCAACCAGACATGCTTGTGCCAGAATGGAGAGTTTCTCGCAAACGTGCAGAGTTGTGTTATCCAGAACTGTCCGCTAAAGTACGCACTAGGTAGGAACATTCAAACCCTTCCTTTGAGGCAAGAATGTTTGGCTGATGGCTGGTCCCTAGAATCTCAGAACATTACTTGGACGGCGTGTCAGTTTCCCCTCCACAAAGGGGTATCAAACTCGCGAAAAGCCGCGCGCATCGTGATGTTCATTTTGCTACCCACACTCTCGATCGTCCTTCGGGTCATAACCAAGTACGCGCGGCTGGGTACATGGGGTCCTGATGATTATACTATTCTTGGAGCATATGTAAGTGGGAATTGTCACGCATTGAAGGAAAGATAATGCTGAACAAAGAACCTAGGTTCCTCTTTTGGGATACACATGTATACTTGCCTATCGTAAGTCCTTAATCAGACGCTGGTTTCAAGTTGACAGTCTGACATTCACGTCAAGTTGAGAATCACGGTGCTGGGAGAGACCTCTGGACACTCAACCATGGACAGATCTATACCTATTTCAAAGTAACTATTGTGTTCCAACATTTATCGGCTGCTACCTTTCTCCTGCCGGCCTTTTGACTCGTCATATATTTAACGCTATCTTAAACAGTGCCTTTACGCCCTACAACCCATCTATCACTGCTGCATCGATATGATCAAGGCCTCTATCCTCTTCTCGTACCTTCGAATATTCCATCTCCCGGACGAGAAGATCCGCATTGCACTCTGGGTTACCATGGCTATCAATCTCATGAGCGGACTCGCCTTCATATTCGTCTCCATGTTCCAGTGCCAGCCTGTAAGCCTGGCATGGACACGCTGGACAGGCGAGACGACAGGGAACTGTATCAACTTCATCTATATTTCGATGTCGCACGCAGGTATAAACATCGCGTTGGACCTGTGGATGCTCATCTTGCCAGCCAGTCAAGTATGGAGCATGAATCTAGCGCTTCGCAAAAAGATTGCAGTCATGTCCATGTTTAGCCTTGGTCTATTGTGAGTGCTTGCCAAGATGATCAACGTGTCTTTGCGACCAAACGAGCAGAGCTGACATGCCATCACCAGCCTTACTATCGTGAGCGCCGTTCGGATTTCCGCCCTTATGGAATTCCGAAAGGATCCTCTGAACCCGACTGGTATGTTCAAAGATGCCCGGAACTAAAAATGCCTATTGATTTGAAAACTGACCGAGCATCTCGTCTAGTTGCCATGCTGCCCACCGTCGTTTGGACAGCTATAGAGCTCTATGTAGGGGTCTTCACAGCCTGCATACCCAACCTCCGACAGTTCTTCGTCAGGTTCATCCTTGGGCGTTCGGAGAAGAAGGAACGTCTTGCATCAGTCAACTCAGGCTACGCGCGTGGTTCGAGATCCGCGCCCAAGCCACGGGTGCTCACACAACAATTTGATGCACTTGAGACGATAGACGAAAGCAACCTCAGCTCACCCTGCCAAAAAAGCATGATCAATGTATGAAATATGAAAAAGTGGACATTATATGAAACTCAGGTAGCCATTGTTTTTGCGACTATTTACAACAAGCACCCAAGGCTGCCTTGCTCTTTGGACCCAGCACCTCGCTTGGAATTACAGTGTTGACGCCAAGAACTTGCATCGAGTACCCTAAAAAACCTCTCTTATACGCAGCCATTGACTGTTAAGAGGATCCCATTCGAAGTGTGTGCCGCTCATGTTCCCATCACGACTGAAACGTAACTCTCGGCGCCGCAAGGGTGACTCTTTTTCGTCCTCGTCCTCAGACAGGAGGTTCTCCGTCTCAATTTTCTCGTACCTCTTCGCGAGAGCATGGAACATCCTACTATCCCATACACCGTCGCGACGGTTAAACTTACCCAGTAGACCCGTCGCCTCTTGCCTGACTTTAGTATCTCGACACCGACACGAAGTAACCAACAGCGCCCATGTAGGCCCGTTGTCCATACTGAAAGTGTCGCTGCACCCACGACAATTCGCCTGAGCCTTCAGAACAATTCGACTCAGTTGCACGATCTCCCGGAAAGACGGTGTCAGGATGATCACCGTTCTGGTGTCTGTGAAACTCAGGCTGGAGACATGGCTCCAGAGCAAGAGGTACTGCAAGCGCAAGTTGCAAGCATTGACATACAACTGGTATTCGGCTTCGCTGAGATGTTGCTGTAACTGTAGATCGTTGTATAGAGCCTGAAAGGCGTTGCTCCATTTTCGGAGGTGGTTCAAGAATTCCGGAGCAACGGCCGCCATTGTCTCAAGATGGGTCGGCAGCAATGCAGGCCGTTCGTAGGCGCCTGCAAGCATATCTTCAGAAAAACCGTCGACGTAGACCTCCGTGTAAATAGGACATCTGTGACACGTGTGGTGCTGCACGACCCTCCACCATCGCCGGGCCGTGTGTATGTCTGTAAATATGGGAGGCATCTCATCAACAGCGAAGGCACGTTTGCTGCCTCGACAGCACCAGCTGATTTCCAAAAGATTGTCTGGATGCAGTACATTGTGGGACCACGCCTGCATTGTCAAGCCCTGGAACACCCATGCAGCATCGTCACACACGGCGCGGATGGACTCTGTCACTGGGCCTTCCTCAACCAACGACCGTCGACGGAAGTATGCCTCCATCATCTTGTAGGCATGATTCACATGCGATAACGCCGCAGTGCGATCTCCATGGAGGCATTCGAATGTTATGAACAGCACGCAACATATGATGGCCCAAAGCATGTTTTCGCTCGTAGGCTGGGAGCTGCGCAAAAGCTTCATAGCGCGGCCATAATGCTGTAAGGCGAACTCGTAATGCGGGCCGTTACTGTGAAGCTCCTTGTCGGACCGATACACGAGCGACGGAACGAGGGCTCGGGCCATTCCCGCCATTGCAAGAGCGGCGTGTTTGATGGCTGGCTCCTGGCGTGCGAGTTGCGGGACAACGCGATGCATGATGTCGTTGGGGAAGAGGTAGATGCTGCCGATAAGTCGCAGCCAAAACTCGAAGTACCCCCTCTCTGGTCCGGTAAATAGCGACGTTTCGTAACCGGGTTCTATGAGGGCAGCGAGTGGTCGCCTCGTTCCCTTGGGGACAATCGGGGCGCAGTGATTCGCACGTTTCTGCTCAGATGGGTATCCTTCGCAAACTCCCGGCCCTCGTGGCGACTTTGTGCACTTTAAACAGAAAGGCCGCGTCTCATCACACTTGACATGGCGTCGTCTACGACGGGTTAGGATTGCCGTTTGATAGATAGGCAGAGGTCAGGCACATACTTGCATGTGATACAGCCTGACTTGACCTTGGCCGTGAATGTTCTCTTGCCTCGCGATCGATCCCCGAGGGAGAAAGTTGCCATTTGAGAAGACATCTCTGGTATCCTAAGAGCCCGGCTGTTAGTCGGGGAAATGATACGGGGGGTTGATGCGGTAATACGCACCTTTTATTCCCGCGACTCACGGTCCGCACCAGAGCAAGGCCAACGGCGGCCGAGCCGGCACTAGACGATCGTGAGTCGCAAGCTGACGCGGAAGATTGAGAAGCCATCTCCAAGGCATCTGGCCCAAGAAACCGTGGAAGTGCGGACAGGATCCGCAGGAGAGCAACCATTTCAGCTGCTTAACAAATGCTGATGCCTAGTGATAGATATCCCTGTCAGCGGGGCATGTAGCTTTTTGTCAGCTAGCGGCGTAGGGCAGAATCCTTCGTAGAACAGCCAACCGTAACTTACATATCATTTGCTGATCTTCCGGGGGACAAGGGTTTGGGCATTCGGTGCTTGAATAGGGCTAAGCCGTGTTATCATTTTCTGACAATTTAACACAGCCACGAAGCAACCGAAACCGATTTGATACTATTGATTTTTATTATCGGTACCGTGCAGTTGATAGGGCTGGTTTGGTCGGTCCAATGGAGATTCGCCACGATATCTGAACCTAGGAAATGTAATCATCGCAACAAACTGCCCGCTACGTGCCACCTCCCCTTTTTGTCCCGAGTTAGAGCATACAGCAGGGCATATATGACTGGGATCAAGAAAACCTTATCCATATGAAAGCAGAGATGTAAAGGGAAGGTCCTATGAAGGCAAGCAAATGGGAGGAACGAGTGAAACGCCACGTGATATAGTACATGATAATCCACCTGACAAGTGTTGTAGGAAGCTATCGTGACATTGTTCATCATTTGAATCACAACACTGTCTCCAAACCCATGAAATCGAACGACAACAAGCTTTTATAAACTCAAAGCTCCAGATTCTGACCCTTTGTGAAAGCTGGTTTCGTTCTTAGATTGTTTTACAAAAATCTCTAGCAGCTGCCACTGGGGGGTAGCCATCGTAGCCATCCCCATCTTACCCACCTCGTTCTTGTGCGGTCAGTGTTGTTGCCAGAGTTTCTCTTATGGATTGATCAACATAGTCCACAATATTCATGTGGTGATAGTTAGTAGCCGGTCTCGGAATCACGCATTCAGCGAAGAGAGAGCTTAGCGTCAGCAAAGCCCAAGGCATGCGCACTCGAAGTAGTATAAGTTTACTATCATTCAGACATCGATACTGACCTGGAGTCCTTTCATAAACTTCATCTGGACTTTTAGGTGGATTAAACTCACGTCACCTGGTTTGATATCGTTACCTGTAAATACAATGGGTGAGACAGGTTAATACAGGTGGCGATCGGAGAAATCTCAGAACCGGGTAGAGCAGGGCTAAAGATTGATCAATACCTCAGCATGATATTTCCTCAGAAAGTCCCAGACTTGGGCTTAAAGTTGGTCACGAGCACCAGAGCAACTGCTGAAAAGTCGTTCGGCTTTGCAGACAGGAGGGCCCTATGAGCACACATGGCAATAATTCGAAGCCCTAAACCAAGAGGTTCGGCATTTTGGATTTATTATCTCAGTTGAAGTATATGCTTCATGGTCTGGACTCGAGCAGTTCTCCGGGGTTTGCATGAATACATATGGGCGAACTTGCGGGAGAGGAGGTTATGTGATGTTCTGGAAGATACGTGCCAAGGCCAACCATCAACCACACAAACAAATACCGACTGGCCTAATTCACTCCTTTACGGATTGAATGTGGTTTCGGGCATTTCGTACGGAAGTGAATTTGGCTTGGCCATTAGTAGGCTACGTCACACCTCCTGACCTCCCCCCTGCCAGGTATATATGGGGAAAGTTGGACAGGGTAACCCAAGCGACTAATTGGCTGATTTTAGCTTAATTGAAGGATACTTTAGCAAGGTTCGGAGCATTCATGCCGGTCTTAGATGACCAGTCTTGGACAGGCGGTGAGGGTTGCTTTTGAGAGGGAACTATTTAGAAAGTTCCCACAGAGCTCCATGACAATTCGTTCCAAGTAAAAGCGGAACATCAGCCATGATTTCGGCTCACCGACTTCCACAATCGGCCGTCGAGAATATAACCTAGAATAAGGCTCAATAGATTTACTCTAATAAGTAATACGCCGTATCAACAGACTGTTCCCAAGAGCATCACAGGCCGCCTGAGCGGTGAGCACCACAAGTACTGTTTTCTTCACGCACATCCTACAAACACGTCACACATATTCAATGTCTCTCATAGCCTGGTTCATCCGCATCGGAGGTCGGCAGTACCAATTGGTCAGTGCTCCCGAAGAACACGTCTCTAAGATGTTAGCTCGCTCTGATGAGGCTCTGGACTGGGCTCTTTGACTTTCGTTGTAAATCGGATTCTCAATCTAGATCGGCAAATTCGCATATACCGGGCTGTGGAACTGCTTTATTACAATATAGATTTGGGATGTCGGGCCGTCGTGGTGAGAAAAATCTGTCGTCATAAGGCTTTCTGCACGTCGCCAGATCCGGCAACGGATCTACCCAAAGAAGCCAGGGGGGCAATTAGCTCCTGATCCAGCGCCTCAGTCATCAACACCCGGTGTTCTCCCCTGCCTTGGTGTGAGATCCGACATACCGGCCGAAGCCGAACGACATTTCAAAGACGTCATTCGAATAAAGCCCCCCTTCAGTTGGCGACGAGTACCGGGCTCCGAAGGCCTGGCTGCAGGTCGGACTGTACACTGTACGCTTGTCCTCCCAGCCCACGCGGGGAAATTGGCGAAATATAGACGTCATGACGAATTATCACGGCTATATAAACAGAGGAGTCTATCGTTCGCGTTCAGAAACTACAATTTAGTCAATTGAAAAGAAAGGAACACAAAATATCGACTACCAACACTAATACCAATCAACATGAGCTATCCTGAGAAGTTTCAAGGTTTCTGTGTGGCAGGCCCGAAAAGCTGGAACCAATTCAAGAAAGAGACTCTTACGCCCAAGCCGTTTGGAGACCGCGACATTGATGTACAGATTGAGTGCTGCGGTGTTTGCGGATCCGATGTACACACTATCACCGGAGGCTGGGGCGAGTACGAGGGACCTCTGTGTGTCGGCCACGAGGTGTGTCCTGCGTTCCTCCATATCTGAATTCTTAGGTGTGAGAGCTAACAGTTATCAAGGTTGTCGGCAAGGCAGTCGCTGTCGGAAAGAGTGTAAAGGAGATCAAGGTTGGCGACCGAGTGGGTGTGGGAGCCCAGGTATGGGCATGCTTGAAATGCGACCAATGCAAGAACGAGAATGAGAATTACTGCCCTCATTTGGTCGGTACGTATAAGCCTCTCTTATGCCTTCTCGAGTCACTTCTGGTGGCGACGCGCTGACGTTACTATCAGACACGTATAATGCTACATATGAGGACGGCAGTCAAGCACACGGTGGCTTCGCCAGCCATATCCGCGCTCACGAGTATTTCACGTTCAAGATCCCTGATGCGATAAAATCGGAAGATGCTGCGCCTCTTATGTGTGCTGGCCTGACGACGTATTCGCCGTTGGCTCGTGGCGGCGTCGGCCCCGGCAAGACCGTTGCGATTGTCGGGATCGGTGGTCTCGGCCACCTCGGCATCCAGTGGGCCAAGGCTCTCGGCGCGGAGGTGTACGCCATCACTCACTCCCCCGACAAGGCTGAAGACTGCAAGAAACTCGGCGCCAAGGAAGCTATCAATAGCAACGACAAGGACTGGGCAAAGCCATATGCCTTCAAGTTCGACTTCATGCTTAACTGCTCCGATATGACCAACGAGTTCGACCTCTCGACCTACTTGTCCACACTCAAGGTCGGCGGACACTTCCACATGGTCGGTCTACCTGACAAGCCTCTGCCTCAGTTCCCCGCGGGTCTGTTCACCACCAACTCGGCGAAAATGTCCGGTAGCCACATTGGAAACAACCAGGAGATGAATGCTTTGCTGAAACTGGCTGCGGAAAAAGGAATCGCACCGTGGGTCGAGACAATCGACATATCCGAGCAGGGATGTAAAGAAGCTGTTGAGCGGGTCAAAGAGAACAAGGTCCACTACCGGTTCACCTTAGTCGGACATCAGAAGGCTTTTGGAACGGCGTAGAGGATGAGGATAAATAGAAACTAATTATCTTGGGACGATCAGCATGTTTTCACGCAAATGCTTAGGAAATCCGGTCCTGCGCTTTGCCTGTGTTTGGTATTTCTCTCATCAGATATGTCTTATCAAATGCATCGTCCACTGTTGATGGAATGCTGACTCTGCCAAGCGGCTAGTACTGACTTGAAGAAGATGGGGTGACAACTCTCGGAAGGATGCCAGCAATCCAGTCATATATTGCTCTGACCTGTGCACACAAATCCGCAAAGGATTCTACCTGCCGATTAGTGGCTTTCCGCACTTCCTGGTCTTCTTAATGACGCGTCAATGAGAATTGAGCTAGACTGAGTGTACTGATCAACTAGGAATGCTTTCCAGCCACCAACGTCTGGTTGAGAATTTGAGAAGACCACAAACATTATGAGTGTTTAGTTGTTTAATTATGCATAGTCCTAGTAGGAGCAGCAGTTCGCCAGTAACTACATGTACTATTAGGATTTCTCAGTTGATAAAGTTTCATTCAGAATGTCAGCGCATCCTTCTTGATTGGCTCAAGATGACCCCTTCCTTTGAAATTCTCAACGATGTCCGCCTGCTCGGACAACATAAACCTTTCATTTTGTTTCCCGAACCTCGCCAGAACCCTCCACCGCGCCAAATCCCCCGGGTTGCGCTTGTCACCGTGCGCCGCCCCAGGGTTTTCCCAGTGCCCCCTCGAGAACGAGATGAGCGTCGAAATCTTCTGCCTCGGGATATCGTACACCAGAGAACAAACGGTGCCCGTCTCCTCCAGCCAGTTGACCTGCCACAACTCCCCAGGTCGGATGCACTGGTAAGTCGCTGTCTGGTAGTTTACGCGGCCGGACATCGGCCCGCCATGGATTGCGTAGACGATGCGGTCCTCGGAGAAGAACCACATCTCGTAACGCCACTTCTCCGGCCTACCATCGGCGTCTTGGGCATTATAATCATAGATGAGATGCGTATCACGAATGTCTTTGTCGAAGGTGGAGTCCAGAGGCGTATTGGTTTGGAAGCGGGGAAGAGGGTTTGCGGGGGGGCTGTTTGAGAGGAACATGACTCCCCTTTGCGACAGAGCGTGCAGCAATGAATTGGTAGTTCGTGGAAGAGTATGATCTCCGAGCGCGGAGAGATAGCAAAGGCCGTTCCAGATCTTGGGTCAACAATGTATCTCTAGGCCAAACTAGTAGTAGTGGTGTTGCGGGAAGATTTTATCTGCGGATCTCCGTGGAGAATAAGTCGTCGTGGTGTCGCGAGCAAGGTGTGGTAGCGGGTCTGTGTGGCGAGCTGTTCGGCAATCTAGATAGATACTGCTATGTATTACATCATAGCTTAGAGTTTTCGGGTTCGTCGGGTTAGCTCGTTTAACTCTCTCGGAAAGACTTAAATCCTCTCAGGACAATGCCTTACATCCGTCTATGAGTTTGTGATGCGATGGGAAGGAATATCCACGACAGCCTGCAAAATATACAATCGACATGTCAATGCGTCAATGGCCAGAGTGATGTAAGCCGGAAAGTGGGTGTTATCTTTGATTTGTGAACCAAATGGTTTCTGTGAAATCTAATACTCTCTGCGGTGGCTTATCGTATTGCGAAAACCCAGAATGATTGTGTCGAGTGAACTATGGGACACATCGTCGAGGCTACCAATGTTGAATGCTGTCGTAATAGGCGTCTCCATTGATCAAGGCATCGTGGTGGACCCCGGTATCTGTTTCTGTCCTGACATCATCACAGACTGTTTATACAAGCCAAGTCATTGAAGAATACAGTCCCAGCCTAGTTTTCAGCATATTCTCTATATAATTCAACCGTCAAAAATGGCGGATCGAGTAGGGTTCTAACCGTCCGAGACAGTAAAAAAGTTTGCAAACCTGGCTGAAATTGCTACCAGCTTTAGGCCTTGCTACATATATAATGTTCACTTCTCAAATGAATATCGAAATAAGGAGTTGTTGATAATATTGACTATGCTACCACCTTTCATGACAATTAGCAAAGAATTTTACACTAACTGCTTTTGAACAGGATGGTCATATATTACTTGTAATCACATTTTGACATGAATCCTCGAGGTATCAAACTGGTTATGTCTACTCTCTGGAAGCTGTCTAAGAATGAGTCTATTCTACAATATTTAATTCACAGAGCTATGCATATATTTCTGAGTGATGTAAAGCTTCAGCTTAGTTCAGAATTTTCGAAGACCTCATTTCATTGCGTCCAGCCTTTGCCATCCCTGGCTAATCCACTTCCGATTCTGATGGCGTTGATCATCAGACAGAACGGCAGGACATCATATCACAAAGCAGACCTTGTTGGATTTGCGATTGAAACACTTGGATAGGAGGCCAGGTTCCCAACGCGGGGTGATGGTAGACACGTCCTATGGTAAGCCACCAAGTGAGCGTCTCTATCCGTTAGAATTCAGGTGTCACGTTCTTTGAAGTACCGCGTACATATCCAATGGTCCTTTTCCAATTCGAAGATATGCTGCAACGTCTAAATAGCCTCATTGAATCACAGAAGAGGTCGCAATACAATGCCAGACTCCCTTTCCAAACAGGGTGTCCAGGCTGTCATATGGTGCTCAAGGCCCGGGCCTGGTATTCACCCTACATCGATGGTCGCAAGAACCCAATAAGGGAATAGGACGCCGATCACCTTCGACTTATATACACATATGGACTCATCCTTCAACACGCTACACAGACTAGTCAACCTTGACCGGCTCAATGTGCACTTCAGGATTCTAAGTAGCATCGTTCACTACTATGTCGCGTTGCCTGTGAGGAAGCAGTCTTCTTGAAACGTGCTACAATTGTTGCTCGTGCACTAGCGAGGGTTACCAAGATGTTATTTGCCTTTGCGCTAACGGACATACTGTATGTCAACATCCTACGATCAGCACTTGGGTATTGTCCTAGTGAGATGCATTGGATGCTCGAGGCCTGCAACGCATTACAGTGGACATGCATTACAGTGGACATGTTTACCGACAAGCAGGACTGATGAAACGGCATGCAAAGATCTTGTTAGAACTAGATGGCACAGACTGTTTATTACCGGTTTACCGGTTCTGGAAGCCCTTGTCCTAGGTGAAACAGACTTGAAGCTTGATCACAGCCGAGCCACCTTTACGAGACGAAATGACAGGATGAACGGCACACAAATGCAGATCCCACGGGGAACCAGGAGCAGAATTGGAGAAGCTTAGTTTTAATGGTGAGCTTTTATGTCGCATTAAGAAGCAGACAATAGGTATATGTGTGGATAGGTCAGAGGGACCAGTAGTTATGTAACTATTGTTTCTTGGAGGAAGAGGCTCTCTAGACCAATCCTGTTGTTCGTAACGCTTTTTCCCCATATCCCCAAGAATCTGCACAATGTCCAAAAATGAGAAAAATACCTGGTGGTGATGCGCGAGTAGCGGCAGCTTCAAAGAGGCCACACCACCAGGTGAATATGTGCCCGGAAAGAAAAGAGGTATCCCATACGCCGTCAAGAAGCTCTTGAAATTCAAACATTGCCGGGCTTCGTCATCGTGGCGGATTGGTGGGGGATGAGATACCGCCTTTCCCCGACGAAAAACTCACCCAGCATGAAAAAAAAAGAGACTACGTCACCATACGTCAAGAGCGCAAAACGCCGCTCGCTTAGGCGGTGAACTTGTCGCCGAGGGTGACGTCCAGGTGGCCGGTGTAGTAGCCCTTGCAGCCGACACCATCCGCAGCCTCCATACCGGGCATGTAGGCGTCCTGGTTGGAGCCGTCGGACTTGACCCACGAGCAGGTCTTGCCGTTGGCGGCGACCTTCATGCCGTAGTAGGGGAGGCTCTGGGAGCCGGCGACGAGGACGGAGGCGTCGGCACCGGAGTTGCCAGAGTTGGCGACGGAGCCCCAGTCGAACTCGAGCCAGGTGCCGGCGAACTGACCGATGGAGGTCTTGGGGACCTCGGAGCCAGCGCCGCAGGCGCAGGAGCCCTGGGAGTCGGCGTCGAAGGCGACGTTCTTGTGCTGGCCCTGCTTGACGGAGAAGGTGATGGCGGCGAACCAGCAGCCGTCGATCTGGCCCTTGGGACCGATCTTGTTGAAGCACGAGCAAGTGTAGTCCTTGTCGCTGGCGGTGAAGGTGGAGGTGTAGTTGTAGAGGGACAGGATGGAGTCGTCGACGACCTGCATGTTGCAGCCCCAGTCGTCCTCAGTGCCGATGTTGCCAACGGAGGCGATCTGGGCGAGGGTGGCGCGCTTGGTGGTCTTCTGGCCGTTGCAGAAGGGGACGTACTCGCCAACGGGCTTGCTGGCGGCGGGGGCCGAGGGAGCCGGGGAAGCCGGGGTCGCGGCCGCGGGCGCAGGCGCGGGAGCGGACGGGGCGACGTTCTTGTAGAAAGTATCGCGCTGCTCAACACCGTCAACGGTGCGGCGCTCGTGGAAGTGCTGGTGGCCGTGCAGGGACGGGTGGGCAGACACGCCGGTAAGGGCAGCCGAAAGGACGACGAGGGTGTTGGTGAGCTGCATCTTGGATAACTGATAGTATAGTATGCAGGTCTCAAACGGCTATGTTCGTGAAGAGAATCGTTTATCTCGTTGACGCTTAGAATGCAGAATTGTGTATGTTTCTTTGCTTTTTGACCCGTCCGGAAAGAGTGACAGCGGGCTATCAAGATAACTCGCGGAGTTTGGACGATTGGTTTGAAAGAGAGAGTGGTGGTGTTGGAAACGCAGAAACCGGGACCAAACTAGCTGACGGATGGGGGGGAATGAGGGTCATTATGAAGGGGGAAGCAAGCAATCTCGCTCGATACTCCCTCATGTGTGATGTGTTAGAGAGAGACATGAATCGTGGAGGCGGAATGTGCGTATCAGCAGGGGCATCGTCGCTAGGGACCGGTGTCTTGCTCTATCGCACACCACCAACAGACAACCACCCGCCGTCAACAACCCTGTCTAGCCAGGAACAGAAGCCAGAACAGGTAATTGGCCCAGCAAGATGACCGAGAGGGTGTAGGCGATGTGGATGGGGGGCCCCGTTGTTGTTTCCAGGGCCAGACAGGGCCAAGCGCAATCTTACCGTAGTTTCCCACTGTCAGTATCCGTACACTAAGTAGGAGGGAGACACACACGCATACCTCTCGGCCATCTCTTCCAGAGCCAGCCAAGATGCACAGAGTCTGCCAGGAACCACTAGGGCGACGAGGGGTGGTGGAGGGAATATGGATCATGGATGGAACATGGTGCACCGCCGGCGCCAGGGCTGGATTGAACGGCGATGCAGGAAAAGGGGGTGGGGAATGTAATTTCACCGCACACACCAATTCCCAAAGGGCCATGGCCAGCCAAAGCTTGGTCCCCCGGATCGAGTCCTAGCAAATACCCGGCTGCTTTCTCCCCCTGCCCAGCAACATGCCATTTCTCTAAGCCAACCAGAAACCAAGTATCGATTACCGGGTTGCATGGTGACCTGCCATCGGCGACTGGCAGATGGAGGGTAGTGGAGAACGCAAAACTGCTTGGTATGAAGGATGTACCATTGGATGTGGACAGAAACAAAAGGGAACACACATGGGACCTGCAGCCCTCCATCACCTCGTGTCCATACAACACACACACGCACACTAAATCCCGGCAAGAAAACCGCCGCCGCCAGGTACACCTGCTCTGGGGGGTGTGTGTGTGTGTGTGTGTGTGTGTGTGTGCTTGGAGCTGGCAAGTTTAGCTCCAGCGCCGGGCCTGGAACCTGGAACTGCTACCCGAATCTTGGACTTGGATGGGGAAGGGAACCACGAACTCCAACTTTGCACCACGAGCATACATGCTATGACGGGAAGATCGACGTCGCCCGTCCGCAGTGGGCGCGGACCGGCTTGCAGAAACGATCACTTTGCCTGGCCGTTCCAGGTTTCTCGAACGCACTGCTCTACCTCCTGGCCTGGATAGATGCTTGAGCAGATGCATGCACTAAACACTTCTCTTGAGATTTTGTCCAAGCTTCGAGCAGGCAGAGATTTTTTTTCCTTTCTGTTCTTTTTCTTTTTTTTTCTTCTTTTCTCTCGGTGGAGATCCGGTGGAGGCGTCTGGACGCATAAACTTCAATCTCTCACCTAAATGTCTCGGGGGGAAGGCAAGTCGAGGCCGTCGGGTATCGTCACTGTCCGCTTTCCATGACGTTACCCCTACAGTGACGACGCTCCCTCTCCTCCGACTTGTTCGTTCGTTATTTGGTCATCATGCGGTGAGCATGCACCTTTCGGCAAACCTGAAAACCCCTCAACTCGAGGTTTTCTAACCCTTCGGAAGCATCGCTGCATCAGCACATGCAACATCATCCGATAGGGGGGATGTCTGGCAGAGTACGCATAGTGTGTACTCATGGAATTTTGCTTATCCAAGTGAAGTGACTGATCTGTGCTGAGCCTCCTGGGGGATGCCGAAGGGGCCATTGAAGATGGAGCGCTCCATCCTTCAGCCCTTGGCTGCCTTTACGTGCTTGATTGCTTTGCCAATATTTCTCAGGGTGTTTCCTCGGCAGTGTGACAGCAGCTCATTAGAGAATTCGTACTCGCAGCATTCCATGGTCCGATCTTAATGCCGCTGCCGCACGACGGCCCGTACAATGGTCACCGGGAAGCGAGAGTGGCCAGCCAGGTCTCTGCTAAGTACGGATGGGGCTTGATCCACTCGATGGGAACGCTTTCCCTGGACAACAGTGGACACGCCCTCCTGAATCCATCCGGCCTTTCCTCTTGGGTCTACTTGTCTCATAGTCCTTCGTCCCAAGGAAGAGCGCATTCTGCTACGGTTTATCTCTGCCGGGATGCTCCACTGGGGCAGTGCTGATGGGATGGGAACAAAGACCAGTGGCGGCAATCCAGGACGCGTCATAGGCCTCGTCAGGGCAGACAAAGCTGCTGCTCCTCACGTGAGGGCGCAAAGCTAGCCAACGAGGCCATCCGTGGAGGCCTGTGATGGGGAGAAAATAGCTGTGGTCCCAAGGGGGTTTGTTGATGTTTACCGCCCAAATACGAGTCGACTTGGCTGGTGGCTGCGCATTGGTGGAAGCGCCCTTGGGAAGCGCCCTTGGGAAGCGCCCTTGCAGCGTTTGCGTGGCCCAGAAAAGGGCCTTGGTTGTTTACCTCTAAGAATAGTCTGGCGCTCGCTCTGCTTAGGATTGCTTGTGAACGCCCGCCATCAGGGAACTAGGGAAGCGTGTTGCCCAGCAGAGCCAAGTGGAATGCGCCACGAATGAACACTGAAGATCATGCACCCCATTGGCATCTCCGGCACGCTATTGAATTGAGATACGATGTGACGTGTCAGACGATCTGCTACGACAGCGATAATCTAGTAAGTCTCGATGCGTCCTTGGGGACATAGTGAGCGCTCAACTGGGTATACACGCTCGGATGAAGTTGACAAACTTACCTGAGGCGGGGGCTGAAGCGTGCACTTAAAGGTGTGACAACCGGTTATCGGGCCGCATAGGACGGTGTTCAGTTCAGCTGAAAGATTTGACGCCTCCCGCACGGAGAACTTAGGACTCACTCCTACACGACATCATAGGAGACTATCTTGGTCACGTCGTATGAAGAGAATATGGTTTAGGATTTTGGCGCTCCTCTCACATTTCACCAGTCAATCATGACTCGATAGCCCTGATGGTCTAGCGGTATGATTCTCCCTTAGGGTTGTCTTAAGATAATCCCAGATTGGGAGAGGTCCCAGGTTCGATCCCTGGTTAGGGCCCATTCTTTTGCTATTTTCTTTTTTCCAAACTCATGGTTGCCGCCGGTGGCTTTTCGGTTTTAATTTCGCGTCTTAAATAAACAGTTCTATGCCAAACTGACAACCGGATGTGTTTTGCATTCTGTTAGTAAGTACTCTCATCTTTATTCTTATTGGATGGAGTATGATGAAGTCGCTCTCAGCCAACGTCGGGTTAGTACAGTTTGAGCGTGCTGGACACGTAAAGCTGGTTGTGATGGCAAAACCTGATGAGACTGAGCATTAAGCCATGAACGAAGAGGGACAAAGGGAACAAATAGGTAAACGATCTCAATGACCAACATGCCACATTGGTATTAGAGAGAGGCCGTGGAAAACGCCGACGCTGCACCTTGAAACTTCAAACCAAATGATCCCATAACTGTTAATTGATGCACCGCATGCATTGTCCAATGTCCTGTTGTACGCTGTCCCTCTCGTCCGGTCTATTTTCCAATAATAAATCAACCCATGTGTCACCTAGCACGACCCAATTTGTACGTAATTCTCAACCTCACCTTGTTCAGCTACTCACCGCTATTGCTATTGGGACTCCAATAACTCACCGATGGATCAATCCCCACCCATGCATACTTTGGATGGTCGATGTCTTCAATGGCACCTGTCGCAAACAGAATCCTGGTACTACGGCCTGTGAACATCGTCTGCAGAACTGCGGCCTACAGCCGCCCGGCTATGCTCGGGTGCCGGAGATGGAGCCCGAAGGCGGCGCGTTCGCTCGCCCGAGGGCACCGGCGAGCCGTCCCTCCGCGCAACCGGGCGGTGGTGAGCGGGCCGGATCCGACCGACCCGTCCCCTGTCCGCGAACCGGTCAGTTCTCCCGCTTCGGGCCGGGGAGCACGCCATCGATGAAAGCCCCGAGGGCGCTCCGGAGGAACCCCTGTCCTCTGCCCTGGTTGACTGGCGCGTAGTTAGTCGAACGGTATCCCACGGGCGCGGTCGGCCAGCTTGGCCGTCCACGCTGCTGCCAAGGGCCGGCACTTACCGTTTGCTGCGCTGCCGGCTCCCCGCGCCGCCGCCGCTGGTCTTCGGACGGGCCGGTGGACCCTCCCCTCTGCCGTCTGCTCGAGACCGGCGACACGGGGCGCGGGATCCTCGTGGCCCCCCAGTTCTTGCGCCAGACGTACCCCCTCTCCATGGCGCCGAGCAGGGTCTCCCCGACCGGCTTGATGGGCTGGTGCTGCCCCTCGGCATGGAGCAGCGGGCAGCTCGCGACCCGGCAGGGATAGAAGATGCAGCACTGCTCGCCCTTTGCCATCTTCTCCCTCTCCTCGCTCGAAAGCTCCTCGTACCGCGCCCGCGCCAGCTGCCGGCGCGTCACCAGCCGCGCGCCCTCGTCGTACAGCGCTCCCGAGACGACCCGCGCCCGCGACCCCTCCGGCGTGGCCAGCAGGACCGTCGCCTGCTCGATCTTGTCCTCGCCGTTGTGGAAGACGTAGATGCGATGGTTGTGGAAGGTGTCGGCGGGCGGGATGCGGCGGAGGAACTCGGCCAGCTCCCTGGGGAGGTCTTTTGCTGGGCCCCAAATCTCGGGGTACCACCACGGATCGTCACTGGCTTGCTCCGGGGCGGACTCCTTCCAGGGCGTCTCGATGCGCAGGGTCGTCGCGGACCGCGGGGTCGGCGTGTGGACGCGCGGGGTGCCCGCGACCAGGACCGTCTCGAGCAGAGGCGGCTGCGCTTTGCTCGTCGATAGGGCGGCAGGAGTGTCGACCGGGACGCGGTCGTCCTCTCCGTCCTCGCTGCTCATCTCGGAAGGCCACGAGTATCTTGCTCGCCTCTCTCTCATGCGACGCTCCGCCTCGGACGAGGTTGTGGCGAGGGAACCCTGTTGCGCCACAGTGTTGTGGGCTGTCGGCTCGGCCGGGGGAAGAAAGGACTCGAGGTAGTCGGCCAGCGGATAGGAATTGGCCTCACTGTCCGAATCGTTTCTTCTTTCCGCTTCTAGCTGTGCCGAGTTGTGGCAATCCTCGCAGACGCGGTCCCGGGGACCCGGGACCGTTTGCGATGTGAGAGTGCCACAGCGACCGATCTCTGGGTTGTCCGTGTTAGCAATTTGGCTGCAGGATTGGGGGAGGGGCTCAAGTTCTACGGCCTTCAAGCACTGTTGACACTCTGTGACGGGTCTGAGGATGTTGCACATGATGAGTGGACGTGTGGTCTTTTTGAGTGTGTTGTCTGGGAGTTGGTGGGTGGAAGGGAGTTCTGTAATGTGATGTGACTGTTTGATTCCAGAATATGCTGATGGTTTTCGAGCACACGATTATACCGATTTGTCAGAGTTCCTTTATATATAATGAGCGATGAAAACTACTGGGCCCTTCGCAGACTTCTCCTTTTTGTTCCATGATCCAAGTTGAAAGATTGAACAATCAACCATTGTGAGTGTTTAGTTGACGTCCTAGACTGGTGATCTGAGCTCAAGACCTTTGTGAAAAGTCCAGACGCACCGAAGCCTTTGGACAGACCAAAGACTGACTTCCTTGTGTGAGTAAAGAGAAGGGAGGAAAAACAAGGGCTGCTGGTGGCGCCTTTCAGAACATGTCTTCTAGCATTGAAGCAAATACGCTCTGCTTCAGCTCATGTAAAGAACCCAAATAGCAGAACATCTCGTTGATCAGGTGGCACCTAGAAACAAGCGGCAGCAAAGTGAAATGCCTGTTGCTATCGGTGGCATTAGAGACATGATGGAGATATCTGGCTGGGATGGGTGGCTTGCTGCATCCTGCATAGGTCGATCGATGGGCGGCTCCCATTGTGAGCGAGGTATTTCATCACGTGACCTTGCGCCACCACCGCCACAGGTCCTCTGCGTCGGCGAAGATGAAAACGACAGCTTCAATGCGCAAGTTAGCCTTTTCAAAGAACCTTGCTTGTCGGCCAAGAGATTCTCAACAGCACTAGTTCAATATAGCTAATGATATACGTCCCAGCTTTCTGAGTAACCCTAAGGCACACACTATGTTAAAATACAACAAAAATCTTAAACTTTTGCCATCGCACTAGTCGCAAACGACTGCCCAGTGCTGCAAAAAGCAAAAGACGACGTTGGCCTGATTCGAACAGACGCTCCCGAAGGAAGTAGATTTCGAGTCTACCGCGTTAACCACTCCGCCACAACGCCTTGTAACCTGGTTGGTTGCTCCTAGTGGCTCAAAGCTGATTCATGTAGGCTCGGCAGCGAGTGAGACCGGATTGGTTGACCCGGCTCGCGAAAATCAGGGTCCTGATTCGCGGACCCTCTCAAATGGAACCAAATCTCAGGTTCGATGTGCATCGATGTGCAGTCCAGCTCAAGGCTCTGCTTATGAGATTCCAAGATGCTGTGTTTCTGCCTAGAAACCTCCTTCTGTTATTTTGAGCCTCAGGCATGATTCGTATTGTTCCGAATGTGTTGGAGTATCACTGTATAGGTACCTGTGCGAACTTAAGAGGGTCCGTTTTGAATATGTATTCCAGTCCAACTGCGATTCTTTATGTCAACCGAAATGCTTAGTTTTCAACCCAAGGATCTGGGTGTTAGAAACCACGAGGTCGGCCATGCCAGCCAGACCCGCGACGATGTACACCGTGATGGCGAGGACTCAGCGGGCAAGATAATGAGTCAATCACCAACACCTCGATGGACCCCATGTTCCCTCTTGATCTTTTTTCACGTATGTATTTGGAGAAGAAAAGATCAATTTTGCTCATCTTACCTTGAATCCCAATCAGTGACGCCGCAACCCGTGCTGCTCCTCATCCCGCTCCTCCACGTCTCGCGCCCTCTTGCGCGAGGCCTCCACCGCCGCCTGCCGCTGCCGCCTCCAGTCCTCGTCAATGTACCCCCCGAGCTCGAGATCGTCGTCCCAGCACTCGTTGGGCCCCACGAGCGCGACGGCCAGCTCCCTGACGCTCGTCCGCACGTGGCCCGCCAGCCCCCTCTTCGCCTCCCGCAGCGCCGCGACCAGGACCTGCGCGGGGGTCGTCTCCATGCCTCCGCCTCCGCCGCCCTCAAAGTGCGCCCGCAGCGCCGCCTCGATGGCGTCCCAGGCGGCGTCCGTCCGGGCACTGAGCCCGGCGACGAGGCACCGCGCCGCGTCCCACAGCTCGTGGTACACCCGCAACAGGAACTCGGTGCGGCCGAGCTCGGCCCGGCGCGTGAGGTCCGCGACGAGGGCCCGGACGCGGTCCGAGAAGACGCCATCGCGCTCGAGTGCCGCCTGCCCCTCGGCGTCGGCCATCTGCCGGGCGTGCTGGCACGCGGGGCACAGGCGGGCTCGCTTGGCGTACGAGTCGCGGTGGTTGACCTTGGCGCTCCTCTCGTCCTCGAAGCCGGCCCAGACCGTGCGGCAGTCGAGCTGGGGGAGCCCGCCGTGCATCATCCTGTTGCAGCCCTGGTCCTCGAGGTACTCGGCGAAGTAGCCGTCGCACCCGCCGTTTGCGGGGGTGCGGCAGCGGTGGAGGGCGAATACCTTCATGCACATGGCTCCTGGCGGTAAGTCTGTGGCTCGAATTGGGTTAGTGTAAGTGATGTCTCTTCCAGCTCATATACGGTTCGGCTGTATCGTGAGTTAGAGGTAGTGTTGTTGTGAGGTGACGCGACGGAAAGCAGCAGACGGTGAGCGGCCCGTCACTCATATATGCCACATTTAACCTCCGTGCGAGTCTGAACAATGGCAAAGAACAGAACAAAGTCACCATCTTGGGCTCTACGATTGGGCAGGGACGGTCAGGCATCTGACAAGACCATTGTTCGATACACCAAGCATCGACCGAGATCGAAGCAAGACGGGGCCAGGTTAACAAAGAACCGCGTCGCGGACGGACATCTTGGACAATCTCATTGGTAACGAAGTATGGGAGAACCGCTCTAGCTGGCAACAATGGTTTTGGAGATGAAAGGAGATCCAGAAGGATGGCATCTGCAAAGTAAACAACGGCGGTACTTTGGTGCCTCGTGATCCATGGGTGGGTTCTAAGGTGGGTTCAGATCAACGGGAAAGATAGGCGGTTTCAACCGGGATAGAGAAGGATAATGTGCCTAAGCCTTGCTCAAATCGTGCCTGATAAATCCAGCATCCCACATACTCGTAGGGACGACTTCCTGCAAAACTGTCAGGTGCCTTTGATGTGGCTCTGCTGACCGTACGACTGGTTTGAAAAGCCCACGCCGGTACCTGGTGCTCTTGTGTCAGTGTGTTTATGTGGGGTGTCGTGTCCAGTCAATTTCTGGCTCAACTTGACAGCTAAACGATCACCGCTGACCCTGTTCTTCTCCATCAACTTGGTAACGGGAAGCATCAAGGCTCACGGGCTCCATTATGTGGGTCGTTTGACGACATCGACCGGAGCGCAACCCAGCTACTCCTGCGGTACTGGTCTCGGAGGTTTCCTGTCCCGGGTGGACGTCTGCCTACTGGGCATACCGGATCTAAGCTTTGCCGGCTTCTGCGGCAGCTTCCGAAGAGACGGCGTTAATCATCTCTAGTATAGCAGAGCCCACGGAGGGCGCGACAACGTACGTATGGAAATCACGAACCTCGCCAACACGGCTCTCAAGCTATCGGCAACATCGGGAGGATATCAATTCAGCAACGTCGACAGTCCCCAACAACGCTTCTCATGTTGTGCCAAGGGGAATGCGAGGCACGGGCAAGCCCTACGGCCCGTCGCCGCTCGGCTGTCCTAGATGTGCCGTGGTATGTAGGGGAATTGCAGGTTTGTTATCGACACCAGCCTTCAGCTGGCTGTTCAAGATGGCATAACAAGAAATTCAGGCTTTCGGCATCGAAATCGAGTGTTTGCGCCTGCAGCTGAAGGTGAACCAATGGGAGGGCTTCCGCCCAGGCTGGACGGCAAAGTCTACGGAAAAGGCCCGAGATTCCGCGGGCTTCGTAAAGATTAGGCGAGTTTCCTCAAGGGATCTCACAGGGAGAACCCCTCCAGAGTCAAACGCCATGAGCGAAGGCCTGAAAGGACGCGCCATCCGAGCCTCGGGGGATACGGACATTACATACCTAGTAGTGAGAAGGCAAAAAAGACCCCTAAGTTCCGGGAGGCAAGGTTCCGAACCCAGTCCTCGATTAGCATCCGTCCAAGGTTTCGGAGCCGACGTACAGTATTGGCAGGGGACTTGTCGAGGTGCGCCGGCCCCCGTTATGAGAGGTGTCGCCAATCTGCCACGCGGGCGCGGTTGATTGATTGTAGGGACGGATCTCAGGCCAGCCGGTGATCAGAGAGCATGCCTGCCTGGGCGTCCAAGATTTCCGTGTCTGAGATTGATCTTCGGGGGTCTGAAGCTTGGGAGGGGGTAGCGGTCCAGCGGCCTGGTTAGTGAGGAGTTACAGCAGCGATTCCTGCGACATGTGCTTGTCAGACTTCTGTGGAGAGGTTGAAGAGCAGGATCCCTTTGGGGAGAATGGCGGGCATGTTGGGGATGAACCGGTTTGGCGGCTTGGCGGTCTGGCTATGAGAACAGACAGACAGGCAGCCAGCTATGGGAGTCGGTTAAGACGTATGGGATGGGAAGGGATTGACTGCCGGCAGATTGGGGGCTCTGGATCAATCTGCATAAGACAGCGTATGCGTAAGGTATCATGGCGTCTGAGGTGCCGACAATCCAGCGTATGATATTCGGGCGATACGGACGAGACAAAGGCTGGCTGCAGCGGCTGTCTGTCCCGTCATGGCATTTCGTCCGGTGCAGGTGTGTGTTGAGACTCTTGGTCGACGGCGGAGGAGAGCATGATTGGAGACGAAGAGATGGGATGATGGTATGATCTGCGCGAGCCCATGACTACCTATGGAAAAAGCTGCGGCGGCAAAAAAGTGCTGTTGGTCGGCTGTGCGATGTAAACTAAGAATGCGATCAGCAAATAAGTGAGAGGGAGAGAGTACCGTATCCTCTCAGTAGATTCGTACACCGCACTGACCAGGGGCTGCTGGATAGGGGCTAGCGGGCTGGCAGAAACAGGGATCTAGAAGTGGCAAATGCAGGGGTTAGTCAACGTCAGCAGCAAGTTTGGTGGCAAGGGTTAGGGTTAGATGGGTGGGTGGGTGGCTAGGCTGACTGACCGCCTTCCGAAATCGACCTGGTGAGTGGTCTGTGCGCTGTACGAATCTGCTGAGAGGATACGGTAGTGAGCCAGAATGATGTGTACA